GGGGATGAAGGTGTTACATGCTTAGTGCTCTTAGTGCTGTGCTCACAAGCACTTCCAAAAAACCTGGAGCTGAGCTGCACAGGGCACTGCCCTTCCACCCACCTGGGCTGCTGCCTGGGGCTGCGTGGGGAGGACAAGGGGAGCAGGCGCTCTGCTCTCCTGGGTGTCCAGGTTTCCTCTGCCACAAGCAGGAAGGTCTTCCTGGAGTTGCCTTGCCCTTTGGTTCTGCTCCCCAAAAACGGTATTAAAGCAATGCCCCCTTCAGAGCTGGCTTTTCTTTCCCAGTGCCCCGATGCTGAGCTACGAGGTGCATTCCTGTCAGGCTCCCTGGCCACAAAGGCTGGGAGCTCTTCCAGCAGGAGGTGGATGCCTGCCAGTACAGCGCGGCTGGGAGCGGGCACTTCGCTACTGGCCGTGCTGCTGCGAGAGCCAGCTCAGCACTGCGGTCCTGCCACGCCGTTGGGACCGGGCTGCCTGCAGTGAGCGCCCTCTCTGCCCTTGCACGAGGGGTGCTTCACGCAGGAGACCTGCACAGCGCTCAACAGGCAGCGTTAGCCCACCCGCTGTCCCGGAGCTGCAGCCCGTGCGGCTCCCCGAGACTCTTTGTGGCTGATCCTGCAGCCTCCGGCGCCCTTCCTGGCGTCACGCGGCTGCTTTCTGCAGGCGCACCCCGCGGCCACCCCGCTGCGGACACCCCGCTGCGGACACCCCTGCTGCGCGGGGCCCCCCCCGGGCGTGGGGCTGTGCGGGGCTGTGCCGGCGAGGCTGCGGCAGGCAGCGCAGCACGCGGCTTGCTCACGGGGGGGGGGCAGGGGCTGGGATTCTCCTCCTGACTGCTCAAACGCGGCTGCTGCGGGACCCTGCTGGCGGCGGGCACCTCCACGCCGAGGTGTCAGAAAGCTGTCGGGGGTGTCCGTGCCCCCGGAGTGCGGTCATTTGTTGCCTCTGACAACCCTTTGACCATTGTGCGATGCTCAGCCCTCTGAAGGCTGTTGCCAGCGCCTCTCATTGTTTGACTTAAAACCCGGAGGGGCCAAGTCCGCAGGTGGGGTGACTTGCCCTGCAGAGCAGGGTGCTGTGGCTCACCCTGGGGCTCTGTCCAGGCTCTTTCCAAGTGTCAGCATCATCACAAAAGCCAAATGCACCCTCCCGGGAAGCTCCTCTCAGTGCTTCCCTGACAGATCCCCTGCCCTGGATTTCATCGCTTCCCCCAGACTCATCTCAGCCTCTGTTTCCCACGGATGGTGCCTGTCTCTTCCCCCCAGCCCCGTCTTTGTTTTCAGCACTAACTCTGACCTGCTGTTTTCCCCCAGCCCGCTGGTGCTGCCACAGCCACATCTTCACAGCACTGCCAGCTTGTCCACCCCCCCTGCCCAGCAGGTGTTTTAAGCGTGCAAGGGAACACTTCTGTGTTCAGGTTCAGTGGGGTACAGGCCAGCTGCCTGCAGATGCCAGCACACCTCTGTGGGGCCAGAACACAAGCAGAGTGCCTGCCTCTCCCACACCAGGTGGGTCTCTCAGATCCCGGTGGATTTTCCTCCCCATCCTCACTCAGTAAAGACGTTCAGTCATTCAGAAAGCTTGAAAGCACAATCCTCTCAGGAGATGAATAACCAGTAACATCCAATCTTCATCAATCCCTGAACTCGTTCCATTTCCATCCTGTTTCCATGGCTCGACCCAGCACGTCTGAGCACCAGAGCTGGCTCTCAGCACAGCTTTCTGCACGAGCAGAGCTCTCAGCCTGCAATGCAGAGCAGCACCGCTCGCTGACAACAACACGGTGTTTGGTGCAGGCATCACAGCAGCCGCATGTGTTTGGAGCAGCGACACGCCGCCTCCTTCCCCGCTCTGCTCCTTCACTGCACGCAGTCCCTGCTGGCATCAGGGTGGGGGGGACACCTCTTCTCGCTTTTCCAACCTGCATCTGACCTGTGCCAGGCTGCCAGCACAAGGGGAAGGGCCTGCTGGCAGCCACGGCATCCCTCTCCCCTGCCCTGCCCTGCCCAAGAGAGGCACAGGCAGCTCTGCCCTCTGCCCCCTGTCTTGTGCTTTTGTCCCCACACTCCTCGGGGCCAGGCAACGTGGGGGCCAAGAGGGAGCTGCCACCCCGCTCCTGGCCTTGAGACCTCCTCTTCCTCATTGCTAAAGCAAGTGGTGGTGAGTGGAGCAGTAGGTAATGCCTCTGCATGGCCAGGGCTGGTGGCAGCCACGTGCCTGGTCCCCCTTGGTAGAGAGCAGTTTGAAGGGGGGGGGGGGGAGGACACGGAAACTTCTGTGCTGGAGCTTGAACCTTAGCACTGCTCCGCAGCTCTGACACTTATCTGGCTTAAAGGATCAAGCACAGGTTGTGGAAATAGGGCCAGCAGCTCCTGCACACAGAGCCAGCATTACCCCCAAAGCACCCCTTAGCCAGACCGGGCTGCACGCACCCGCCTGGCCCAGCTCAGCCCTGTGCCCACCTTCCAGGCACGTGCCTGGTCCCAATCACACATCTCAGGGCTCATCTGCACCCCCCATCTGCCAGCACAGCTCTGCCTGGGAGGACAGGATGAACTGCTCAGCCTTAGTGGGACCCGTGGGCCCTTCCAGTTCTCCCTTTAGAATCTGCCATGAGATGGGACAGGGAGGACTGTCAGGCAACCTTTTTTTTAACGCCCTGGAGAAGTCCTTGTCCCAACGCCAGGCACCGGTACAGCCCAGTGGTGAAAGGCTAGGAGCCACAGCCAGCCTCGGGGCAGCCAGGAAGCCTCTGCTCCAGCACAGGCCCTCACAGACAGAGCTCCAGGGTATTTTGCCAGGATGAGAGAAAATGCAGCCTTCCTTTTGCTCCGTCCTGTTCCCACCAGGGTATTGGCAAGCCTCCCCTGGCTCCTGCGACAACCGGGCCAAGCTCGGGGCATTTCTTTGCTTGACATCTCCGCGACGCTGTCCCCGCGGGACGGACTCACCGCCCCCGCCGGTCCCAGCTCTGCCCCGGCCCCCGGCCCCCTCCGCTGCCCAGCCCCGTCCAGCTCCGCCTGCCCCCGGGCCCGCCGCGGCAGCGGCCGCTCCCGGTTCCCGACCCGGCCGTGCGAGGCGGTGGTGCCGGTGCCGGCCCGGGGAGGCCGGGCTCGAAGCGGAGGCTCCAGCGCCGCGGCCCGCGCCCCTCCCGCCCCCCGCGCCCGGCGGCCCCGGTGCCCTTGGGCTCGGGGACGGGCGCCCGCGGCGGAGCCGCTCCTTCCCGCCGGAGGCGGCCAACACGGGCGAGCCCCCCGCCGCCGCCGCCGCCGCGCCGCCCGCTCCCCCGCGCCGCCGCCCGGCTCCCCGGGCTCGGTTCCCCGCGGTCCCGGTCATTCCCGGCTGGGGACGGGGAGGGGGGCTCGGCCCCGCGCCCTTTCCCGGTGCCGTGGCCGCGGGGACCGGCCCCCGCCCGCCGCCCGCCGCCGGCCCCCCCACACGTGCGCCCCCGCCGCCCGCGCCCGGTACCTGGGCGGGTAGCGCCGCCGCTGCCGGTCGCCCGCTCTGACCGTGTCCCGGGCGAGCAGAAAGCCGGCGGCGAGGGAGCCGGCGCCCACCATGGCCAGGAGGCCGGCGGAGCGGCGGGCGGAGAGCGCGCGGGCGAAGGTGCTGGCCATCGCGGAGCGGCGGCGCGGCGGAGCGAGCGCGGCGGGGGCCGGGCGGCGAACGTGATGGGAATGGGAACGGCGGCGGCGGCGGCGGCGGGAGGGTGCGCGGGGGGCGGGGAGCCGGCGGCACGGGGGGGGCCGCGACGGCACCGCCACCTGCTCGGGACGCCCCGCCCCGCCCCGGGGCCGCCGCCGCCGCCTTCAGCACCAAGCGCCGGACAGCGCCGGCGGGGCCGCGAGCCCGACCCGCCCTGGCCCCGGGCCCGGGCCCCGGTCCCCGGTCTCCGGGCCCCGAGCCCCGAGCCCTGGGCTCGGCCCCCTCGCTCCGGACCCCTCGGCCCGGACCCCTCGCCCCGCACCCTCCGCCGCAGGCGGGCACGGCGCAGCGCGGCGAAGCCCGAACTGAGAGGGTGCGGCCGGGGCAAAGTCCGCGCACCTGCAGCCGGCGGCGGCGGGGTGCGGATGCCGGGACGCGGCGCCCCGACGGCCCGGTGTCGGGACGGGATGCGTGCCGGGGCGGGCGGGAGGGCCGGCCGTGAGGGGAGGGGGGACTGGCACCGTGGCGCCCCGCGCCGCTGCCCGAGGCCGGGCATCCCCGTCCGCTGCCCTCGCACGTCGGGTGCGGCCGGGCCGGGGCAGCCGCGGGGCTTGGAGTGCGCGCCTCGGGCCGCCCCGCGCTCCGCCGCGGACCCCGCGGGCCGGCAGCCCTGCGGGCCGTGCCCATGCCGCGCCGCCCGCCCGCTCCGGGCCCGCCCCGCCTCGCGGCGCGGGGCTCGCGGGCCCGGCCCGGCGCGGCGGGTCGCGGTTGCCGCGGTAACGCGAGGCTCGCGCAGCGCCGCCCGTCGCCGCCAGGGGCCGCTGCGCCGCGGCCGGCCGGCCCCGCCCCCCCCCGCGCCGATTGGCCACCGCCGGCCGTCAGCAGCTCGCGATTGGCCGCCGGCCGCGCCGGCCGCGCAGGGTGCGCTCGGAGGCCGCAGGTGAGCGGGGGGAAATGGCGGCACCCGGCGGGGCGCCCCCTGCCGCCGCTCCCCTCCCCTCCCCTCCCGTCCCCTCCCGCCGGGCGGCCCCGCTGCGGGCTGCGCGGCCGGGACGGGGCGGGCGGGGCGGGGCGCGGTGCGGTGCGGCGGGGGCGCCGCTGCCGGGCGCATGGGGGCAGCGGCGGGGGGCGGTGGGTGGGTGGGCAGCCGGGCAGCCGGGTGGGTGTCGCGGCCGCCCCTCGGCGCGGGCTCGGCCGCCGTCCCGGCTCCCCGCGGCCCCCCCTCGGCGGCCGAGCGCGGCGCGGCCCTGCGGGGGGGAACGGGCGGAGCGGGCCGGGCCTCGCCCCCCGTGCCCCGGCGGGCCGGGCGCTGGCTCCGAGCGTCCCTCCGGTGGCGCGGGCCCTGCGGCGGGGCCCTGCGGCGGGGCCGTCGCTGCGCGGTCGCGGCGGGGCTCCGCAGCCCGGCCTCGTGGCCAGGCTCTGCCCCCGCGCGCCAGGCCCCGGCCGCGCCGTTCCCCCGCCGTGCTGCGGGGCGGCCCCGGCCCCGCCTGGGCCTGCGGGGGAAGCGGCGGCCTCGCGCCCGGGGCGAGGACGGGGTAAGGCGGGTGGGGAGAAAGGAGCGATCCGTGGTAACGTGTCCGCAGGCGGTACGCGAATACACCAAGGCTAACGAACACAACAAGCGGCGTTGTAAAAGCTCAAACATCTTTATCTTGTTCATAGTCTTCTTTACAAAAAAAAGGAAATACTATTTTATGTGTAAAATTGCTAATAAATCTAATAAACAGTTACAGGCTCAGAAATTCTGATGCTGTAAAGCTTCACACTTAACAATCTCATAAATCTTGTAAAAAAAAAAAAAGTACATAAAACAATTTCGTAAGCCGAGAGTGGATCTTACTCCTGCATTTGCTATGTGAACAATGCAACAGCTGCTCAAATGTAGGGGAGATGAGCCAACAGGTTTTTGCTAAACTTGCAAGCAGAGGTATTGAGAAGGAGCTCCCAGTCAGGAAACGTGTTTTAACCATTGCTGCACTCTCTGGGCTTGAAGCTGTCGATAGATTTGCAGTTACTGACAGTGCTGCTCAAACAGGCAGAACAGTATGTTTAGAAGCATGACTTCAGCTGCCTGATTTTGAAGACATTGAACTTCTTTGTTAATAAAACATGGAAATTTTTCTTTAATACACCAAGTACAAATAGCTTTTAATTATTAACTCTGAAATAGGTATGTGGTTTCCTTTTTCTGAAGCAATTAAGAGTTTGTGGCTTGATTTTTGATAAGAGTATGGCTTTCACCTTTTGTATGTAAGTGTGTAATTAACCTTAATACAAATAGACCTTGTGACAATGGAAATGACCCCTTTGGCAAAATTACTTCACTGATCATACATTCAGGGTCAAGGCATAAGCTTTTTTTTTATTTTTTTAAAGTGTCAGCTATGTGCATTCTTAAAGGTTGTCATATGTCAGGTACTTGACCTTGCTTAAGTCAGGTGGGGGTTCTGTAAACTCAGTTATCCTCACAGCCTGGTTGCGTGCAGTGGTATCATGCACTGCTTTGATCTCCGCTCTGCTGCTTCCCCCAGGCTCCCTGGGGTGCAGAAGCCTCTCCCAGCCACCTGTGGCTGCTGCCACCAGTGATGTGACTGGTCTTCATTGGTCACTGTGTGCCAAAACCACGGCAGTCCTTGTCCTTTGGCTCTCTGCTGTAGAGACTGTGCTGTCAAGTGCTGCTTCTGCAACTATAACAGGTTTTGTTTTAAAAACAGACGAACAAAAACCAAACTAATCAATCAAAAAGAACACCCCTCCCACATAGTTTTCCGTTGTTAATGCCATGCTGGGTGTGAAGTTAATGCAAGATATGATCATCCTTTCTGCACTTAAATTTCTGGTACTTCAGAAGTTGGGCACAAAGAATAAATCTCTATGCTGTGAACGTCCTTATCAGAACACCACCGAGATTCATCTGCTGGGGAACCTGGAAACAACTTACATCTCGTTTCTTATCACTAACACAAGGTAGTCCAGAGAGCTGAATTAGTCCCAGAACACCGAGAGGCAAAGTTTAAATCTCAGTTCCGGGTTGTGTGTCAGCAGTTTCTGCTTGCCGTTAGGTGATTACATTAACCTTTGGTATGACTGTAGCAGATCGTAGCTGTCCTTGGAGGAGAGTGCAAGGATGTCTTTAGCTGGAGTGGCTGGTACGTACTTCCTCATGTATTTGTGATGGGATGAGCATGAATATTTCAAAATAAGAACCATGCTTAAGTTGCGTGTGTGTGCCATTGTCGTGTCAAGGCTTTTGATTCTCTTGGATGGTACAGCCAGCAGCATTAACGCTTAATTTTCTTGCTGTGATTTGTGGAAGGTGAGAGACCAGTAGTACCCTTAGCAAGTGGGAGCTGGTCTGAATGTACGGGCTGTAGGAGCAGTTAGCCCGGGGAGCAGTGAGAGTGATGTAGAACCACCAGACACCTGTGTGAGAAGCAGACATCCCGTACTGCCAGGATCTCTCACAGCGCTAGGTTTGAAGAAAAAAAGCGGCAGGGAGGATGTCGGCTGAGCACCGTACAGGAACCTTGCTAGTACTGTTTCTGTAACAGGCGTTGCTCTCCTCCTGTCCTATAAACTCTTTGATATCCCAGCTCTAGAGCTGATTCAGGCATGGTGGCAAATCCTCATGTAATCAGTCTGTTACATGAGAATGGTACTTCGCTTGCCTGTTTAACAGCAGCAATCTGTCCAAATTTTGCGTACCTTAGTTATGCTGTTTCATCAAGTGACTGTAGCCTTGGTTGGTAGAAAGCCAGTCAGAGAAGGGATATGCTTTAAACAGAAACTTGGAAAAGGTTTTGCTTATACCATGTTCCTGTCCTCTCACCAGAAACAACCTGAGATAACGAGGTTTATCCCATTAACACCAAGGGGATGGTGGGTGTATCAGTGGCCTTTGGCCTCATTGAGGCTCAGGGTTTTCACTTATTTTTAGTATGGCATGTCATAGCCTCCAGAAATAGTTGCAGAGCAAAGTAGAAGGTTTTTTTTTTTTTTTTTTTTACTATTTTTTTTTCTCTGGGATAGAAGCAGGAATGTAGAGAACCTGTTGCTTTCTTAGTTCTTAGGCCAAAGGTTTTCCTGCTGCTTGGTCTATTTTTCCTCCAGGAGGGAGGGGAGAGTATGCGATTGGTGCAAATGGTCCTCCTCCCCTTCTTGCATGGCTTACTTCAGTAAGTCATCGACCACCACGCTGATAGTGAACTTGCTAAGGTCTTACTCCACTCTGGCATGCTGAGGCAGCAGGGCCAAGGAACAGAAACGGTTCCTGAGTATGTTGGGAATCCTCCTCTTGTCCTTGTGTGGAAGTAGCAGGATTACACGGCACACACGGTAGAAATGCCTGCGTGGCCCGGTCTGCCAGTACCGTTGCTACTGCCAGCAGAGAGCATGAGGTGGGTTAAAGCTTTAACTCTCGCTGATCTGGATGCTCGTGTGTTGGGTGTGCCCTGTGCCTCACGCAGCACATAGGAGCAGGCGGCACTGGCCTTTGTGCACCGGTGTGAGTTGGGCTTGCTGTGTCTTCTGCTGGCCTGGGCTCCCCTGGCAGACCTGGTGCACGAATTGACAGTCTTGCTGTCAGGCCTGCGCCTCGTGGCGTGGCTTTGGGCACTTGTCTGGCACGCTTCTGCTCCAGTGCTTTCTGTGAGTGCCCAGCTCTTACCTCTCCTGTCCTTTCTGGGAGTCTGCAGCCTTTCTGCATGGAGGCACACCGTAGTTTTATCCATGTTTCCCCGGGGATTTCAGAGGCAGCTGCATTGCCCTCTGTATGTTTGTTTCTTTTGGCTGTTCCCACCCTGCTCGAGTGGATGAAGTCAGTCTCCCTCCTTTGTTCTCGGTGAGGGGATTTGCACCTACCATGAAACTGTGCTGGCAGCAGGCAGGTGGCGTTTGGGTGCATCTCCTCTGTTTTGTGAGGAGCTGTCAGGGAGGACTGGGAATCCGGTTGTACGTGGCGGTACGTTCTCCCGTGATATGCTGGCTCTGAGGCCAGGCGTGCCTCAGAAGAGGAAGTGCAGTGACTGTCAGCCTGGGAGAGGGTGCAGATCACGTGAGAGTACAAGAAGCAGCGGTGGAGCGTGCGTTTGTAGGAAATATTAGCATGAGGTGTTTACAAAGTCATCTTCTTGAGGTTGCACTTCCTGTACTGGTTTTGGCTGGGATAGAGGGAGGAAAGCTTTTCGCCATGGGGAAACCAAAGTAAAGGGCAACCACTTGACATTTGTGTGCACAGCTATGGACAGAGCTGAACAGTTGTGTCCTTGCTCTGTACAGGTCATGCATACTGTACATTCAACAAGTTGCTTGTGTGGCTCACAGTGCTGCTCCTGTAGGCGATTGTGCAAGATGTGCTCATTTCCTAGTGTTTATAAAGAACGGCTTGTATCTGGATAACCAGACTCCATGGTCAAAGAGTAAATCAGAGCCAAGCTTGCAAAACGTAAAAAGTCCTGACCTGCGAGCTGCTGCTTCTTTTGTGTCCTCTTTACCTGCCAGAGTTGTCAGTCCTTCCTTTTCCCTTCTCCCCTGCAAACTCATATGTCTTTCAAACTGTTCTCTCTGTTACTTTAGGTCTTCTTGAGCTAGAAGGATGAAAATTGGCAATTGGAAAGTCACCGTCACTCTCCTAAGCTTCCTCCTAACTTCTGAGTCCCAGTTTGGGTGTACAAGGCTGCGAGCAAGTCCCATTCCATGATTTAAACAGAGGCTTGGAGCATGCATCATTGTAAGGTTTAAATTATTTCAGCGCTAGCAGCAACACTGTCCCTTTCCCAGCTGGTGCAAAAGGGCTCATTGCACGATGGAGCTACCTATCTAAAATGGTTCTGGGTCCTGGATCCCCTCCCACCCTGAGGGTCTCTTCCCGCATACCTCTGCCTAGAGGCTCTCTTCATCTCACCTGCTCCCCCTGTTTGTCCTGGGCAGCGTGTCCCCGGACATGTTCACTCTAGCTCAGTCCCTGCCCTGCCCACCCTCACCTGCTCCCAGTGGCATCAGCCCTGGCTCAGGCCCTTCTTTACCACTTTTTGCGCACTGTGATTCCAGAGCGGGATGGTCGGCCACCGAAGCTGCCATGTCGTCCCTGACGACCTCCAGTGAGGGAGAGAGCTCCACTCCCAGGTTTGTTGTCGGTTCCAGGGATGATGAGACAGACTTTCTGGAATCAAACATGAAGACGGATGAAACCGATTTCTTTGAAGATGATGAAGAGGAGGAGTCGGTAAGGAGGTCCTGGCATTCTGGGTTGGAGCATCTGTGCAGAATTCCTGGGTTTCAGCCAGGTTTTGCATGGTTCCTGCTGAGGCCACAGACAGTCAGGACTGTGGGGAACATGGCATCAGGCTGTGTGGCACAGCCATGTGGAAGATGCATTGCACTGACATGCTGCCAGACTCGGTGCCTCGCGCTGCAGTAAATTCTGGCCTTTCAGGTCTTTTCCAGTTGCAACAGCAGATTTCTTTATCCTAGCAACTTAACCCTGATACTGCTGTAAACCTTTTGCTTTACCAGGGAACTTCTTGAGGAAAACTGAAGGAACTGTGAATAAGGGCAGAGAAGTGTCTGCAGGGAGGAAGCATTTGCTCTTTTCTGTAGCCTCCAAGAACAGGCTGCAGAAAGGAGAATGATCTCCAGCTCCTGACTGCTTTTGGCCTCTATTCAGCCCACCCTTTCAGTTCCCACAGTGGCCTCTGTACCGGGCTTCTGTTCAGAGGAGCTTCGTGCCACTGCAATCATCTTGCCTTTGACCTTCACATGGTGAACTGCTCTGACTTAATCTTATTCCTAGTACAGTATGTAGGGACCTTGCAAAACTTTTATCAGCTGTTATCCTGTCTCTGTGCAGCCCATGGGGGCTAATACAGGTAGATCCTCTAGCACAGTTAAGAGAGGTCATCAGCAGCATATGCTGACCTCCTCTTTAAGGATGGGAAAGTAGATTTCCAAAGACAGTGCAGAGAAACCAGTGAATAGCTTGAACTTGTCTCTGCAAGACTCGTGGGCAAGAGCACTGCTATGAGGCAGAGGAATTCATTCATTTCCTCCTCTGAAGTTATGAGAAGTTGCTTTTCCCCCATGCAGATGCTTTAGGGTGTTGCACAGTCCTCTGTTGCCTGCCCCTCTAGTGAATTCCTGACAGAGATTGCCTTGAAATATCAAATACATCTGCAGCACATGGGGAAGCTTTAGGAAGGATACACTGATACAGTATTGATGCCCCAGTGATGGGAGTGCCCAGTGTTTGTGGCATTGTATTTTTGCTGTAGAACCTGAGCCCTTGGCTTTGCAAGTCAGTGCAGGTAACTTCTGAAGTCTCAGTTTATAGTTCGAAGCCACACTTGCATGTGCTATGTAACCCACAGTCCTGTGTGTATCACTTCAAATGACCTTACTGAGTTTGAACTTGCTTAGACCAGAATTACTTAATCAGGAAAACGTCCAGTCTTCAATTAAAAACAGTCAGTGATGGAAAGACCAACACAGACCTTAGCCTGTTCTTCTGTTACAGTTACCAACACTTTTTGAATACAGGCCTTCTATCTTGCCTTATTCAACTTAAATTTGTCCCACTGGATCTTGCTATACCTTTGTCAAGTATATGGAAGAGCTGTTAATACTGTTTCTCTTCTACTCACAACTACTTGCCGTTGTGATCGCCCCTTCATTTTCTCTCAGATAAAACAGACTGAGCTCCTGCTGTAGTCTTTTGCCATAAAGCATATGCAGCTCTTCTGTAAGTCTTCTTAAGTCTGCCACTTGTCCTGGTGAGTCCTGGAGAGAATATGAGGGAGGATTCCAGTCCCTGCTGCTTATTCAGGTGCCAGATACTTTTTTCTCTGACCCTGTAAAAGGAGGAGGTACGTGTTGCCCAGCAAAGAAATACTCATTTTGGGCTGCTCCTTAATGACATCCACCAGTGGAATCTAGTGGGAGCTGGGACTGTGTATGGTCTGAGTCTAGGAAGGGCTGTGAGATCTTAGGGTTGGAAGAAAATCCTGTGTTTGTTCAGTATTGCCGCATTTGCACACTTAGAGCTTAAATTCAGTAAAGTAGCCAATCCTGAACTAAAACAGTCTGTGTCTTTCCTTTAGCCACCTGAACGGCAGATTGTGGTTGGAATCTGTGCCATGACCAAAAAGTCCAAATCAAAGCCCATGACACAAATTCTGGAGCGTCTGTGCAAGTTTGAATATATCACAGTTGTGATTATGGGGGAAGATGTTATTCTGAATGAACCAGTGGAGAACTGGCCTTCCTGTGACTGCCTAATCTCCTTCCACTCCAAAGGTAAGAGTCTGTAGCAGGCCTTAGCCTACCTAAGATCTGGACAAGGGAGCTTCCATTCATTCTTTTTGTTTTGTTTTCTGTATTTCAGGATTCCCTCTGGATAAAGCAGTTGCATATGCCAAGCTGTGCAAGCCATTTTTAATTAATGACCTTGATATGCAGTATTATATCCAGGACAGGTAAGTGTCTGTGATCCAATAAAGCTCCTTCCCTCTTCCTTAGTCCGCTTTCTGTCCTTAGCATGCTGTGCAAGCTTCTTCCTGGCCACAAGCAAATGAGATGGGAAGGAAGGGTACTTTAGCAAGGCTTTTAGGGGTTGTTTCCCCGTAACATGAAGGGGAGTAGATCTGGGGGTAAACCCCTTGATACTTGGCATGTTTTGTCTTCTGGTTCAAATGCATTGTAAGGAATGGCCAAATGAAGAAGGATGTGGAAGTGGTCTCATGGGATGAGACTATCATGCCTAAGACAAAAAGACTACCCCCTTAGTAGGAGAGCCAAGTAGTGGGATGGCGTTCTGGGGCAGAAACTGGGGGCAGCAAGGCCAGGTCAGACCCTAAGGAAGTTATGTTGGTGAGGCACTTCAAGAGGCTTCTTAGCCAGTTAGTAAAACTAACTTGTAGTCATGTACCTCGGTGCATACAAACTGCTTTGGCTGTATATGGGCAGAGCTAATACTAGACGCCAAACCTCCCACCGTATTTTTGGGTTGTGTGCAGTGTTCCTGCAGGTGCTGACAGGTACTTCGAGGTGTAATTGTACTGAAAGAATTTCAGTTTCCCCATTCCAGACCGTGCTGTTGAATCTCACTGTTTCTGTCCTCTCCAGGCGTGAAGTGTATCGGATCCTTCAAGAAGAGGGAATAGACTTGCCCCGCTATGCTGTCCTCAATCGAGACCCCGATAGACCAGAAGGTAAGTGCCCAGGCTCTTCTGAAAGCCATTTGCACATACTGTACTATTTAAGATATTCTGCAGAGGCTGGGCACTGATAATCAACTCAAGCAGGTCTGATTCACGAGTCTATTGACTTTGGAGAAAAGGCGTTGTGCCTACTGGCCAGGACTGAAGGGCTTCAGCTCTGCACAGGGGCTGCTTCCACTTTTCCTAACATGCTGCTGCTCTGCTTTGTCTTCAGAGTGCAACTTGGTGGAAGGAGAGGACCATGTGGAAGTAAATGGAGCTGTTTTCCCAAAGCCATTTGTAGAGAAGCCGGTCAGTGCTGAGGACCATAATGTGTATATTTACTACCCGACCTCAGCAGGTGGGGGCAGCCAGCGGCTCTTTCGGAAGGTGAGAGGATCTCTAGCTCTGGTGTTGAGACCAACAAATTTGTGGGTCTGAAAGATGCATGTGGCTTCAGGAGGGAGTGTTGGGGCAGGTGAAGGAGAAAGGAAGGTTTTGTGTTGGGGAACACAACTTCTTAGAAATTTTAGTTGAACCTTAAACAGCTGGGAATTCCAGAGGAATGTGTTTTGGTGGTAATGCTGACTTCACCTTTGTCATCCTATGTCTGCCCAGTGTCCTGTGTAGCAGTTACGGAGAAATGTGTCCCTTACTGAACTACATACTGTTTTTTTTCCGTATCATTTCCTTGGTTTATTGAGATGATCCTTTTTAAAATCTGTTCCTGTCTGCTAACATGCTTGCTGCCTTTCTCAGCTTAGCGTTACTTGCAAATGTAGGAAATGCACTATTTATTGATAGATTTCACAGAGAATCTGCCTTTACTCACTTCCTTTACTTTGCCAGCAAACAGTTAAAAGCTATGATGTATCTTTTTTTTCCAAGCACTTACACATCTGTCCTTAGTAAATCTAGACAGATTGTTTCCTTAGCTGGTGTACAGAGGTGCCATTTGAAGTTGTATCCAAAGACTCACTAAAACTTAAAATGACATCATCTTCTGTCCATAAGATCTGTCATACTGTCCTAGAAAGAAGTAAAGTTGGTCTGATTATGAACTGCCATCAGTTATTATCATTTCCTTATTAACTAGTCTCCTTACTTTACACATCTTTATCTACTATTTTTTGTTGCATATCCTTGTAGCAATTGGAGTCAACCTAAAGGTCTATAATAACTTTTCTCCTCTTTAGGCCTGGAAAAGGACATACCTGTTGTCTGCCTATTAGAGTCTTTTTTGTCCTCCATAATTGTGCTGTAACAGCTGGGGGTTCTGAGAGGTGTTCAGCCAATTCTCTCCCTATGGGACAAAGCTTATGATTTTTGTTCTTCCATATAAGAAAACACTGACTTCCCTGATGTGTTTATTCTTTGCTTTCAGATTGGTAGCCGGAGTAGTGTGTACTCCCCAGAGAGCAGTGTAAGGAAGACAGGGTCATACATTTATGAGGAGTTCATGCCTACAGATGGCACTGACGTAAAGGTAATGGAAAGCCTGGAATTGCTCCTACTGTCTCCAAGCCTGGAATAGCTGAAGGTTGGGCAGTCCTGCCTAGGTTGACTCTGGAGTGTTTGTTTAAGCTGTGAGGTGCTGTCCGTGCAGCTTGGATCCCAAACTGGGGAGTGGTTGTTCTGTAGATCATAACAGGAAGAAAGTGTGAGACCATCTAAATTTTTCCATGTGTCTGCAATAGAACCTTCTGGAAGATGCAGTTAACTCTAGATGGTTATGTCAGGTGTATCTATTTCTCTTCCTAGGTGTACACTGTTGGGCCAGACTATGCCCATGCAGAGGCTCGCAAATCTCCTGCTTTGGATGGGAAGGTTGAACGGGACAGTGAAGGGAAAGAAATTCGTTACCCAGTTATGCTGACTGCCATGGAGAAACTCGTTGCACGGAAAGTCTGTGTAGCCTTTAAGGTCTGCCTGTTTTCTCCTCTACACAAGCAGGATACTCCATGAATGTCTGATTTGTATCTCAAGCAGTGTTAAAGCCTGAGTTCTGTTACCCCACCGTGTTCCATGACTGCTGCCAGTTGCCATCTCTGCAGGCTGGGTACAGCTGGTCCTGCTGGCCCTGGCAGTTTGCTGGTCATCTAAACATTTAATATCATATTCTGAGTGTGCTGCTTTGTCATATGTGCTGGTCCCTCCTTTACTATTCCTAGTTGTACATGTGTAGAGACCCTGACCTTAATTTCCTCTGCTTTTTTTTTTTTTTTTATCTGGCTTTGGTGTACATTTGTGCTGTACTGTAGAGGTAGGTAGCTGAATGTATGCAAGTCTAGGTGTAGTTACATGACATGTTCAGCAGTGTCAACAGAAGCAGCACTTGACTACTTGTTCCTGGCTTCACTGCAATTTGCAACCCATGCAGCGGGGCTGATACAGCTGTTCCATTTTACAGCCTTTTCCACATACTGATGGATGTCTGTGAATTCATCACTTATTGTCTGTATTTCTTCAGTGTGCTTCAGAACGGCTGAGTTTAGAGGCAAGAGCAAGAGAGCCTGGAGCTGCTCTGTTCTGATCCTTAAGTGTTCTGTGGAGCAGGGGGGCTGGACCCTATAGGCTTAATCCAGGAGCTCATGGGCTGGGCTCTTGGTGCAGCTGTGAAGCTGTATAAGTTCGTGTAGAGGGCCTCTTACTGCTAACTTGTGGCTATATTTTCCCGCTTTAAGACTAGTGAGGCAGGCATAGAAGGTAGAAGTGCTGCAGCAGTGGTGCCTTTGGAGGCACCAGTGGAGCTGAACTGGGCAGCATATGCTAACCGGGCATGTGTGTCAGCCGTACTTGGCTGTGCATCTGCTGTCCTGCTTGCTGTACTCCCTCCCAATGTGCTTATGAATCCTGTGTCCTGTGTTTCCTCATGCAGCAAACAGTGTGTGGGTTTGACCTCCTGCGGGCAAATGGCCACTCTTTTGTTTGTGATGTGAACGGCTTCAGTTTTGTGAAGAACTCTATGAAGTATTATGATGACTGTGCCAAAATCCTTGGGTATGTAAAAGGGTAAAGGAACCCACAGCAAAGTATAGTGAATGGAGATGATAAGTATGACATAGAAATCTGTGGATGGTTCAGCTAGGGAAATTTGTTCAGAAGGTGAAAGCTTGGCTCTGGGAGGAAGGGGTTAATTATGTATAGCAGCTGGAACTCCTGCCTGCATTGGCATTAGCTGTGTTTTTCTACACCTGGAAGTATCCTACAGGATACATCTAAGATTGGTTGCTAAGGCCAGATGCAGTATTGGTGATGTGAGGGGAAATTGGTGTCCCCTGGGGGGTGCCCTAACTAGTCCATGGTGTGCTAGATGTCTCTGCAAGGAAGGTAAGGAGATGATCTGTTTGTGGTTCTCAAATCTTTCAGCAGGACCACCAGGCAGGAGATGGAGAACCAAGGGAATGTGAGTTTTATGTTCTGATTTCTTCCAGAAACATAATAATGCGCGAGTTGGCTCCCCAGTTTCATATTCCCTGGTCTATCCCAACAGAGGCAGAAGATATTCCTATTGTCCCCACAACTTCAGGCACCATGTGAGTACCTGTCATCTTCTCAAACGAATGCCCATGGAGGCTACTTGAGGGACAAAGTGCAAATACCGTCCAAGGGACACATTTGTCAAGTATATCTTCTGTTTCCCCAGGATGGAGCTTCGTTGTGTTATTGCAGTCATCCGGCATGGAGATCGTACCCCGAAGCAGAAGATGAAGATGGAAGTTAAGCATCCTCGGTAAGAGTCAAGGCACAAAGATGCTGCATTGCTGGGAAGTGAGGAGGGCCCATTTGCTGAATTAAGAAGCACAGCAGAAGAGCACATGGAAAGCAGTGCTTTTTCCTGGCTCTGTTCAATCAAATGTTTTCTTCTAAGTTGAGAGAGTCTTCTTTCCCCATAAGAATCTAGTCACCTTCTTTGTGAACACTGAAGGAAAGAGTGAAGGCTGCTACATCTTTCAAAGTGAAGTACCCCACTAAATTGCAAGATAGTGTCTACTTCCTTTTCTTAAATGAGCCTGGAAACATTAATTTTTATGAGAATTTCTGAAGCACAGGGAGGACCCAGTGGGCCTGCTGATTCTTCTTGAAGAATAGTGCATGAATCCATAAGTAGGGATGAAAGTTGTAGCGCTGAAACAACAGAAACTATACCAGGGTTCTTTGTTGTCTCTACAGATTCTTTGAGTTATTTGAGAAATATGATGGTTACAAGACAGGGAAGTTGAAGCTGAAGAAACCAGAGCAGCTACAGGTGAGGGGAGCCCTCTCTGGGGTTACTGTGTGGATGAAGGTAATTTGGATCCCAGTGTGAGGCAGTTTTTTGAGAGTGAGAAGACCCTCAGAAAGGCACCAGTCTGTTGCACAAGCACTCCCTTTATCATTCTCCACCCACTTTGCACTCAGCAGGGTAATAGTATGAGAGCATAGTGAAAACTGCTCCTGGATGATTTGAAGACAGTAGAACGAGGATGACCTGATGCTGCTTGCCCATCTGTTGTGGTTGCCTCCAGTGAGAGACAGCTCCAGGCTGGGGAAAGTTTGAGGCACCTGCTTGGTTCTAAATGGGGCTGGAGCACAGGGTGAAGATGCAGCAAACTGCAGTGTGGAAGTTTGTCCTCCCTGAGCTGTGTCTTACGAAGTGACATGTCTCTAAGGAGTATGTATGTGGCCCTGATGGTGGGTGAGACTGTCTGGAGGCCTTGTAAGGTTATGGTGGTGAGTGAGAGGCAGAATTGCTGTGTGTTTGAGACGGTGTCTGCCCTCCAACAGGAAGTGCTGGACATTGCACGGCAGCTTGTGGTGGAACTGGGAACCCACAGTGACTGTGAGATTGAGGAGCGGAAATCCAAACTGGAACAGCTGAAGAGCGTCTTGGAGATGTAAGGATTCATGTACTGGGGCACTGTGAGTCTGTCTCAGAGCCTTGGTCAGCATGTGATGCAGAAGCAAATTGGGCTGCTGATGTCTTAAGCAGCTAGTTCTCCAGAACTCAGGGAACTCTGTCCCTTGTTAGAAGCTATATGTGAAAGGTGCCATCCTGTTACTGTTTTCTCCTCAGCATCAAAACCTCTGTTGATTCTTATTCTAAGTGTCTCTGGTGTTCGTCTAAACAACTTGAGACAAAACTGAGCTTCCTTTGCTGTGGGAAAGGAGCTGGAGTCCTGTAATGACCATATTAACACGAAGCATTTTTATAAATTTGGAACAAATGTGATTTAAATAAGGTTGTTTGGTGACAAAAGTTTAACAAAGGGCAGCTTGGAAAACGTGAAAAGAAGTTTGCATCCCCTTAGATTGCACATAGCTGAAATAAAAGACAGCGTGGTGCTGGTGTCATCTCAGAAACAAAAGGAAGGTTCCTCTCACTGTGGCATATGCAGGTGGTGTCTGTTTTTAAACCGTGTCTGAGGAGCACAGAAAATTATTTTTTTACCATGATTCCTTCCCCTGCTCTCTCTGCTCATTAGAGGTGTGGCTACACTTAGAGTGGCTGGCAGATTCTTTTTCTGTGATCCCGCTAATTCACTTGCTAAAGATGTAGATAAAGAATAATTCGGGTTGACTAAAGTCCTTGTGGGCGTATGAGAGCACAGAATGCTGTCAACTGAAGAGCAGGCAAGTAAATGGGTCTTTGAATTTCATTTAGGGAGGTTATATAGCTTTTTGTTTTGAGTGTGTATTCATGCCGGGTCACAGATAGATGTCAAAAATGTTCGTGTTCCACAGCAGTTGGTGCTGTAACAGGAAGTCAGTGTTTGTACTGTGTAATTTTGCTATGTGGTGTCTATGGACCTCTGGATACAGGGTGAATGGGGTTGGTTTATTTTTAACTTTTCCCCCTCTCACTGTGATAGGTATGGGCATTTTTCTGGCATTAACCGTAAGGTGCAGTTGACCTATCTGCCTCACGGACATCCAAAAGCTGCAAGTGAAGATGAAGGTAAAGAAATCAGACACTGCTGCCGTGATCTTTAAAGCCTGGTGTTTAAGAGTGTGTACAGCTATCCTACCTATAAATACCCCTGGATATACTAGCAGAATTAATGAACTATGTCCTGTTTTTGCTGCCATCGTAAGAAGGGGTGAAGTGATACACAATGTAGTGTACCAGTACACCCTCGATGGTGCCACAGGGCTTATGTTTCCAATTTAGTGAATGTCAGCCTATACCATCTGAAAGTAGTGGTTCTTAATTTGGTACTTGCTGGCTTGATTCTTGTGGATTCTGGGTCAGACTTGTGCTGAGAATGCTCTGCAAGGCTCTGGTGGCAACTTCTTCTTCCTTCATCCTCTCCCAGTGCAAGCTCAGCTTTGAGATCTGACATAGTGAGTACCTGTTTGTCTCCTAGAAGGTCGCAGAGAGTCTTCCCCTTCTCTTCTCCTGGTGCTGAAGTGGGGTGGAGAATTGACGCCAGCAGGAAGAGTCCAGGCAGAAGAGCTGGGGCGAGCTTTTCGCTGTATGTACCCTGGTGGCCAAGGTAAGCTTTTTAAATATGTCTTAGGTCCTGTCCTGTGACTGTACCAGGTTGCTCAGCCCAGGTAATCACCAGTGTGAGGAATGCTCATATGTCTGTAGGTTGTGTGCAGCCTTTGTGATTCAGGTCATCACTGTTTTTGTTCTTTTGAGTTGACCTGATAAGGATTCAAGCAGGCTTTGCAACCAAAGATAGCTAAGCTAGCCAGCAGTGTTTGTTGCAGCGGTTAAACTTCAGAATGTCTTAGTATGGGACATAGAATCACTAAGGCTGGAAAAGCCTCTTTCAGTTAGTCTGCCTGTATTCAGAAAATCAAGCAAATCTAACAAAGTAATCCTGATGCAGCAACACTGTTCAAAATTTATATATTTATTAAGAATGAAATTAGGTCAGATGTAGAGAACAGAGTAAATCTATCTTGGAAAACTAATAATTATGTTTTGGGACAGGGCAATAGTGAAGTAACTTACCTGTATTTTCTCTACCTTAATTCTGTGACCGTGAATATTGGGTCAATATTGGGTCCAGGCTTGTTTAACGTATTCATTGATGATCTGGATGATGGGGCAGAGTGTACCCTCAGCAACTTTGCAGATGACACAAAACTGGGAGGAGCAGCAGATATGCCAGGGGGTTGTACTGCCATCCAGAGGGAATTGGACAGGCTGGAGAAAGGGGCTGACAGGAGCCTCATGAAGTTTAAGAAGGAAAAGTGCAAAGTCCTGCACCTGGAGAGAGAGCTTAATCTGCAGTGAGACGCTGTGTCACAGTTCCCGGAGAGCAGTTGGTACATGGCAGCTTTGTACAGATATACAGCTGACTTCTGTCTAATGTCTGTCCTTATCTAGCAGACTGTTTCTCTGAATTATGAGCTCAGAGCTGGGAGCCGTGTCCCCATCTTCTCGTGCTGTATGACTGGGTACTGTACAAATTCATCATGGGATTCCATCTGATAGCAAATGAGTCACCACTGTACTGTTTTTGGAGGGTCAGACTCAAAGCTGCATGAGTTGCTTTCTCTCATTACTGATCTGTCTCCTCTGGTTGACTCAGCCATCATAAATAAACTATTTTTCATGCCACAAGATAATTGTAGCTATACAGGATATGCTTTGGAAGCCAGGTGCTTCATTATTGGCTAGCTCTGGCTGCAGTTCTGATGGCAGCAGTACTTGCTTTTGTGCAGAGAACAAATAGAAGGAGGCAATTCTGTTGTGCTGCTTTATTCTGCACAGGGGCATTCAAGCTAGCAAAACAGTTACAGACTGTTGGGAGAGGGTTGCTGCAACATTTAGACAGCATCAGACCTTTACTGGTGAATCCTCAATTTCATCCTCAAAATGAACTTTCCCAATTTAACCTGAAACATATTTTCAGGCTTCATGTATTGGCTAGAGCTCTCTGTTATGGAGCAGATAACTGCTAGCTGTGAAAGTGATTAATTCTCTACAAAACTTTGTTACTGCAAGGAAGTAAGTTGTCTAAAGTAGTGGTATTCTGCAGTATACTCAGCTGATAGTCCTGAAGATGTCAGAATACTATTTTGACCTTGTTCTCTTTCCAGGTGATTATGCTGGTTTCCCTGGCTGTGGCCTGCTCAGACTGCACAGCACATACCGTCATGATCTCAAGATTTATGCCTCCGATGAGGGACGAGTTCAGATGACAGCAGCAGCTTTTGCAAAGGTTCTTCCTCTCTTGGGCATCTACATTCTGCTACGTTGTTCTTAGAATATGACAATTCTAAAGAAAACTTCTGGTGATGAGGAAGGAACTGTCCTAGTAGTTTCCACCTGCCTGTTGGGAGGGCAGTGGTACACTATGCTATTAGCAAGTTTGTGGGGCAGCACTGGAAACCCAGTGTAGCTGCACATGTATGTTGTCTTTGGTATTATGGCCAATATAGGACTGGAGGAGTTATTTACAGAGTATTGCTGGTGTTTAATGTTAGAACACTTCTGCTGAGTATTAACTGCCTACAAAATGAAAGTTTCTGACTGCCCAGCCCAAAGGCAAATGTCTTTGGTGCCCAGACACCTAATGTCTTCGGTGCATTTTGGGGTGAAGGCTGGGGAAGAGACAGATTCATCTGCGGTTACAGCTTGAGCCAAGGGGGATCCTGTGGTAACCATAGCTGTTCTTCAGAGCCTCTGCTGTATCAACATTTTCCAGCAAATTGTCTTGCCTGCTTAAGGATTGCCTAGACAAATCTGGGACTGCTGCAGGCAGAGATGGTGTTTTGCCTAGAAAAATGGCTGATGCTGATGCTAGAAAAAGTAGATGCTGGTGCTGTAAAAATGCTCTTCAAGGACAGTTGAGATTTCACTCAAGTTGACTGAAGGTTGGCCTTGAAACTAACAGAAATGTTTGTTGCATGGGTTGCACATAGCTGAAATCTTGTCCTCTGTTGTATTAGGGTCTGCTGGCCCTGGAAGGAGAGCTGACCCCCATCCTGGTGCAAATGGTGAAAAGTGCCAATATGAATGGTCTCCTGGACAGTGACAGTGATTCTCTTAGCAGCTGTCAACACAGAGTGAAGGCACGACTGCATGAAATCATGCAGAAGGATGCTGAGTTCTGTGAAGAAGATTATGAGAAGGTAAAGCACCTGCATAGCCTTAGAGCTTCCTGTGTCTTGAAGGAGAATAGTGTTGCTGCAGTGGTTTAATACGTGAAGGTGGCTGGGATGTGAACAGTAGTTCTGTTAGTCTCGGATCAGCTCTAGTCAGAATTGCAGGATATAAACAGAGCTTAGGAATGGCAAAGGAAGGATTTTGGGGAGTAACAATCCCTGTATTTCTCCAAGTGGAAACTCTCACAGTTGTTCTGGTGTCCACTTGTCCGCTTCAAGAATCATCATCATGGTACCTTTCTCTCCCTTTAGAAGTCCCAGTGCATTTTATTCTCATTACTATGCCAGAATAAAATGGGTTTGACAAACCTGTTTTATAAATGCATGCACAAATATGCGATTGGCTGACATTTGGCATTTTTTTCAAAGATTTTCAGTGTGTGAAATCAATGTATCCCTTGTTAGAGGAAAGCTCCAAGCTGTTGTGGAAGAAGTTGCTCCTCCAGTCTTGTGAACTATGTCTCATACAGGTTAAAATTTAAAAAAATAGATCTGGGGGAATTTTTAGTGAGGATGCTACAAAAATCTCTTTCTTCAGTGGTGTACAGAAAACACTATCCAACATCGATGCTGTGGAGTGTCAAAAACTAAATGGCTTTTTATAAAACAATGGGTCCTGCGATAAGCTGGCCACAGTCGCATGACCTTCTATGTATGCTCTTGCACAAAACTGTAGGGAAAATGTGCGGGTCTAAGGCAGAGAATGGGAACTACATTCAGAAGGGGAGTGATGATGAAAAGAGCAGTGGAGTCAGCTGAAAAGCTGCAAAAGACATTGCCTCTTCTGTGTAAGAGAAAATTCCTCTCCAGTTGGTTGCTTCTCTGCAGAATGGGAAAGTGGTCTCAGAATAGCCTGCCGATGTGGTAGCTCTCACTGGTTTATTCCCTCCCTTTCCCTTCTCCCCTAACCAGGAATCTGGCTTTTTGGCAGCTCTATCCAAGTGTATACTGTACTGTATGCTACATGTACTGTATACTGCACCTGACAGCCCCAGTGTAGGAATCATATGCATAGCAATGTGAGTTGCTTGCTACTTAAATCAGATTGATTGTGCCAGCTAGGGGTTAAAAATACTATGTTTTGCAGCAGAGAGAATTATAAACGTGATTCAATAGGAACTACGATGAACTTTTGAAACAACTTGATATGGAGTAGGGTGAACTTTGAATCTATAAACCCAAAGTAACTATCTTTTGTAAGTGATCTCTATGCAGAAGAGACAGTATTTCAGGTGACTTTTTTTCCCCCTTTCACTATCTAATTTCATTAAGGTCTATGTTGATACAAAACTTGCTGAACATGCTTCAGATGCCAGTTTGTCTTTGGAAAAATCTCCTTTCTGTAGTCCAACTGGATTTGGACTGCTGCGTGAGCCTGTGATTTGCACGTGGTGAGGCTAGGTGGCCACAATCTTCCTTCTTGGTTTTCAAGCCAGTGAATCTTTGAGCTCCTATTTTTGTATGCTGTGGCTCATGACTTGGAGGGATAAGATTGTGTCAGAGACTAAGGCTGTAAGCACAAGAGCCAAATGCAATAGGCTTTGTTTATCCTGGCCTTACAGGAAACCACATGTCAGTGATATAGGTGACATAAAGCAAGAAGACTGTTCTGTCCTTATCTTCTTTGGGGCTCCCTGATTTGGGTGCATTGCTGCATGCTGCCTGAAACAATCCAAGTTGCTGTGGGTGGGCAATTCACCTTTGCCAGATTCTAGATCTTTTGTGCACATACGAACAGATCTTTTGGATACAAACCCTTACGTGGTCCTGTCAGTGTCTGGTAACTGAAGAGTAGAGAGCACATGCTACATCCAGCACTGTAGCTGCCTCTCCAACAAGTCCCTAGACACTTTATTTTTCCCAGATTCGGAGATACGATCACAGAATATTTTTTTCCCAGACTCTGAGATATGTTTACAGAACTGAAATCTATTACCATTAAGGAATATATTTATCACCTCATAAAAATACGTAAAACACCTGTGGAGCCCTTCTGTTCAAGCACAGAAGCAAAGCAAGCCGAGAGTGGATATTGTAGGTGGAGGAAGGTCTGATCTGACAGGAGCAGTTGTTTGCTCTGAGTTTGATTCCAAGAACATGCCTAATTACCTTGAGCATTACACCAGGTTATTACACTTGGCTGGGAATGCAACTTCAGTACCTAATTGTAAAGCAGGGCAGCTGAAGAAGGCAGATATTTTGTGTTCACAGTCTGTAAAGCTACTAACTAATCTCTGTTGTTATCTTCTCTCAGCTGGCACCTACAGGTAGTGCTTCTCTGCTCAACTCCATGACCTTTATCCAGAATCCAGTAGATATCTGTAACCAGGTGTTCACCCTGATTGAGAATCTCACCTCCCAGATACGAAAACGTCTGGAAGACCCAAAATCTGCGGGTAAGCATCAGAGCTGGGAAGAGTCTGCAGCAGATGCATTTATTCTTCTGTCTTCAGAGCTCCCAAACATCACTGTGATTTATATATATAACTATAGCAAAGAAGTTGTAGAATGAAATTTTGTGTGTGCTATTGATATAGAAGGCTCCTATTCTGCTTTTAGCTACTGGTAAAGAGAGCTGTAATGCAACAGAAATGTAATACGTATTTTGGTTTTAGAAGGAATATAATCAGCAGCACTATGGCCTGGAGGGATATGCTTGGCTTTTTCAGGAATGTCTTGGAGGGTAGGTCAAGGCTGTAGGCAAGTTCTTTGGGTCATGACTTACTAACCTCTGAGAGTTTTCCTTATAACAGTGCAGAGGCTGTATAAAGGCACCTGTGGGACATGGACACATTCTATGGTAGACAAGCTGTAAGGAAAGCAGTTTCACTTTTTCCAGATATTTCAGAAATAATTTATTGCTGTAGGTTAAGGTGCATTGCAACAGGTCCGATGGCTTTTCCAGGCTCGGATTCCTGTGGGTGGCGTAATGCCTTCTATGCTGGGAGAAGTCAGGTGTAGCTGTCACTTGAAATCTACATGGAATTAGGCAGGATATGAATGCGTTTTTGTGTTCTCTGCTGTTTAGACCTGCAGCTGTACCACAGTGAGACTTTGGAACTGATGCTGCAACGCTGGAGTAAGCTGGAGAGAGATTTTCGCATGAAGAGTGGCCGTTACGATATTAGCAAGATCCCCGATATCTACGACTGCATCAAGTATGATGTACAGCACAACTGTGCACTGAAACTGGAAGGCACAGCTGAGCTCTTCAGACTCTCTAAAGCCCTGGCAGATGTGATCATACCCCAGGTATAGCCTGTCCTGCCTGTGTGAAGATATCTGTGGTGCCACTTTATGACCTATTCTCTGTTTTTTCTTGTGTCTCTTGCACATTAACTTTTAAAGCAGCGTAACACAGATATTTCTCAGGTATCTCTTCTACTGTTTGTATAATGCCAAAACCATATATGACATACGATATGGCAATGCTTTCTTCATGGATGAGGATTCTAACAGCATTAGAGCAATCAACAGCTGATGCAGCAGATTTCTCATGCTCATCATAGTGCATTGTAGCACAGCTTCAAGTTGAGTGTGTGCTCTGTACAACATCGCATCTTCCACATTCAAGATTGTACCTGGGGATAGGGTTTTCTGCATTAAAGTGAAGGCTTTTTATGGTGGATCTAATGTCCTTGTTAAACTAGGACTTGTTGAGTTTGCAAAGTTGGATTGCTTCTCACAAATTTTTTGCATGTAGAAACAGGAGGGGAAAGGAGGGCCATTTGCAATAGCTCTCTTTATTCACCGTTGTTCTGTCCCACTTGAGGCACAAATCTTTCATTTATGTGGAATGAGCTTCTAACAGCAGGGTCCAGTTGCCTTGGGCCCATGTAAGGCAGAAGTGGGATTCTAAGCTTTCCCAGACTATTCCTGATGAGAGATCCTTTGGCCATTTACAGCTTGGCTCTTCAAGTTTTATTGCTGCAAATAGCAGTTGTTGCATTGCTGCTCGTGACAGATCTGGGTATGTGTGTTCATACATCAAATTGTATTTGTACTAAGAGAAAGCTCCCTGTCAGGTACTTGTCTCTCTCAGTTGTTGAAAGTCTACTGATGGTTGTGTCCAGGCAGTCTGGGATTCTTGGAGGAGCCTCTGTTACCCTCCTCAATATGGGGAAAAAATGAGAAAGTTGCTGAGTGGTGTTTCCCATTCTGGCCTTGCTTAACTGCAATTCTGTTTGTGGACAGGACTGTGGAAGTTCAGCCTCCTTTCATCTGAAGATGTGGCAAAGAACAAAGGCTCAAAGATATCTATTGTGTTTTTTTGTTTGTTTGTTTTATTTTGTTTTGTTTTTCATTTTGTTTTCCTGCAGGAATATGGAATTAATAAGGAAGAGAAACTGGAGATTGCTATTGGCTTTTGTCTTCCTCTCATTAAAAAGATCCAGTTGGACCTACAGAGAACCCATGAAGATGAGTCTGTCAACAAACTACATCCTTTGTAAGGACTGTTGCATGCTGTTATTGGTGGGTTGGGCCAGCTTTGGAGCAGTGTGTGGGAGCCATGCAGAAGAGTATACTGGTGTGTGAGGAGGCACTGGACATATGCTGCTCTCTCTTGGTGTGTCCTTTGGTTTGTCTGATGCTCCTTGAAGTGGAAGGGAAATGGAAAGGCACATTGAGACTGCTGAGAGTGAGCCAAGGTGCCGAAGAAGCTTAAACCAATTGTAGCTGGATGGTGGTACCTTCATTCCTGTCGCTGCAAGGGGCAAGTGCTAGTGTGACGTAGGCACTTCTGCCTGTGTGTCTGCCACAAAACTTGCTGCTTCTGTCCCTAATGCGCACTCTGCTTGTTCTATTTGTGCGTCTCTTTGACAGTTCCCAGTGTATGATTTCCTTGTTAAGTAAACAGAAATGGTGCTGTATGTTGGATGTTAATACACTGGCAGACTGTGAGTAACATGGGGCTAAACATTTTTTTTAGGTACTCAAGAGGAGTTTTGTCACCGGGTCGCCATGTTCGGACACGGTTATACTTCACCAGTGAGAGCCATGTGCACTCTCTGCTCAGCATCTTCCGCTATGGGGGGCTCCTGGATGTAAGTGTTCCAGCAATGCTCACAGAGTAAGCCTCCCTGCTTTTTCTTGGTAGCCCTTTCCAAGGTAGACAGTGTTTGTAGGTTGCCCCTTTAGCCAGCGTTCCCAGTAATGATGTGCATCAGTGGCCTCTGGCCTGCTCCATTTCTGCTGTGTTTGCATGTTGCAGCTTCCTGCCGTTCTGGCATGGAGGAGGATTGGTCTTCCTCTTTCCTGCCACTGCCTGCCTTGCTTGTGCAGAGGCATGTTTTCTCCAAAAGTTCTCCTGTTGATTTTAGATGAGTCTAGACCACTTGCCTGTGTAGGAAGACAGCAATATGAGGCAGTGGTGATGCAGGAATTTCTTCCTGCCTCCTTCAGCTCTTTATTTAAAAAGTTATGCAGTCGCTGTTATTTCTTGTTTTTTGGTCAATTTTAAGTCAAGAAAATCAGTTTGCTTACAGAAGAATTGACTTGGGGTTGCAAATGCATAGGGGGTGCTCTCTACCAGAGGGACAGACGACACAGTTTTAGGGGACAAATTTATCCAATCCAGCCTCTTCCTGTGCTCTCATAATCTGCTTCCTCAAGGAATCATCATGCAGGGCCTGAGAAAAGCTCTGCTTTATACTATGATTTATCTACCTGCTTTTAAGCATGGTGTTCTCAAAAGCCTTGAGAGTTTGGGGTTGTTTAGCAGGTGTGATTTCTGATGTCTTTGGAAGCTACATATATCTGCAGGCAGCCATCATGCAAGTACCTCTGTATTACTTGCTCACTCCATAAGATGCTGCTTTATTCCCCACGCAAGTGTCAGAGGATGCCATGTTGCCAGCATAAGAATGTTAAGCTGCATCTCAGTTTATATGTACCGATGGGGTTCATTTCATGACCATCAAGGTGGTAGGACACTCCACAGCAGCATGAGTGGCACTTTAGGTATGGCCAATCCCCAGCAGTGCTGGGAAACAATTATGGGTGGGCTGCCCTGCCTTGTGGAGCCCAAGGGTCCAGCGTAGCTCTGTCATTCAGCGTTGTGTACAAGCAGCTTCACTCAGTCCTTTATTTACCAGTTCATTCCTTGTGCTTTTTTTGTGGTTTCTCTAAGATACTCATTCTGTAGAACACTGAGAATGACTGTGTTTGGGTACTGCTGTGGGTTATGCTTTTCTTCAGTCAGCATGGCATAGGGGGCTTGCATCTGGATGTGCTCAGAACTGCACGTGAATTGTATGGGTAGCTGTAGTATCCCTCTATGCAATTGCTCCTTACTGTAAGCATCCTGCCCTCATTGCAAGGTCATCTCTCTTCATGCAGTTAAGCAAGATGTTTTTGTCCTGACAATGCTGTTACCTCGTGGAGAGGCTAAGTCTCTCAGACCCATTTCACTGAATGCTGCAAGGTGTCTGCTGTTGCTTATTCCATGCGACTGTTTATGTGTATATATCAGGAGAACAAAGACCAGCAGTGGAAGAGAGCCATGGACTATTTGAGTGCTATCTCAGAGCTGAACTACATGACCCAGATTGTTATCATGCTCTACGAGGACAACAACAAGGTGAGGGATATAGCTGTAGGACAAAATCCTTCCTGCCATGATGCAAGGCACAGTCCCCTGAGAGATGTGTTCAGCTGGGAAGTTTGTGACCTGAGCTCTCTCACCTTGTGAATAATGATGGATGGATCATTTACACAACCACTAGTTCTTATTTTTAGGTGAGAGAAAGTGACCCAGTTAATATTTGTTACATGTAAGCAGGATGCCATCCTGATCAGTAACACCAAACTTACATATTTGATACCAGCTATTGTAAAGCATGTCCTAAAGAAAAATCATTTGGTGTTTCTTACTATTAATTACAAATGAACAATAAGAAAAACAAAATAAAACCAAATTATATTTGACAGTTTATTCAGAATATTTATAGAAAATGTCCATAAATCCCACATTCATAAACTTTTATTTATTAAAAATAGACTGGTATAGTTAGGGAAGTATATACTGATATCTTCAGGAAGTAAAGATAATCACTTAAAAAAACAGATGGAATATGGAAGGTGACAGTGATGACCATAAATAGTTTTGACACTGAATTGTACATACTGAATCCCAGGTTTGGTGACCTGTACTGCAGGAGGTCATAGTGGGTGAGGGGAGCAGCCCCTTTTTTCTGTAAGCTTTAGAATTAGAATTTTGTATTCAGAGAGTTGATGTGGGATTTTAATGGTAGAATAGAGATCTTGAGTTGTGGTATAAGTCTGTTAGTGAGTTGAGATGATGAAACTTTGGGTTTCCATTAGTGCCAGATCCTGTAAAAGCTCTGGCTACCTTTTAAATATATATACATATATATAAATATATATGTATATATAAAATAAATATATATATAAGTTTTTAATAAGTTTTATATATATATATGTTTTAAATTAATATGAGAGACAGTTACTTAAATCTTGGAGTAACTTGACTAAAGTTATACGAGGGAACCCATCTCTCCCTGTGCCAGTAAGTTCTGATTTTGCAACAGCAGTGGATCAGAAAGGGGCTATGCTTTAGGTTTGTATATATACATATAGCCTGATGCTGTTTTGGTCTTCTGGTGGCTGTTATCACAAAATAACAACAGTTTGAATGCCTCAGCTTTGTGCTAATAAGGGCTGTCCTTTTGGATGAGACAAACCTAGAGCCAGTATGTTTGTGGTTCCTTGTTGCTTCTGCCTTTCTTCCGAAAGGATGTGCTTGGGATGCGTGCTGCACCAGCATGGTGGGCTGACCTAAGTCCAGATCATGGCCTGTGCTGACAGTGGATTAATTTTTATTCGTTTATTTATTCCCTATCACTCCTGTTCACAGGACCCATCTTCAGAAGAGCGTTTCCATGTGGAGCTGCATTTCAGCCCTGGTGTGAAAGGCTGTGAGGAAGACAGAAATGTCCCCACGGGATTTGGCTTTCGGCCTGCATCAGCAGAGGTGAGCACATTGTTCTAGACAAGAGTGACACTGTGCCCTGTGTGCTGGGGACACGGTGAGCATGGATCTGTCAGACCCCATACTGCTCTGCCGGGCCCTGTCTGGTCTCCAGCAGCATGTTCTCCTCTGGCCTTTAGTCTTGTGCCTGAGGATTCTAAGTGGGTTATGTTCTCTGCCTAACTTCGTGGGCTTTTCAGGACAGTCTTTGTGTGAGGAGAAAGCAGAATGCTGATAACTCACTGAATTTAGCAGAGCTGGAGATATGAGCCTAGAGTAAATGCCCTGGGCAGTGCCTGGTAAGGACACGTGCCTGGAGCTGTCAGTGTTTCGTACTGCAGAATGAGGACAAGAAAACAGACCAAGGCAGCCTGGAGGACCTCTCCAAAGAGAAGGGCATTGATGAGCCAGATCGTGCACAGCAAAGGTCTCCGCAGCCCTCTGAGCCAGTCAGCATTCAGCGAAGATCACCACTGATCAGGAACCGGAAGACAGGGTCCATGGAGGTAATAGTGCAACGGGCAGTCTGGGTTGTTCTAGTGAAGGTCTTTTGCCTAGTTTTAGTTTCCTGAGATTCCTCTTAACATGCCAGAGTATGAGTTGATTCTGTGGATTGATCTGGGGATGGGATTGAACAGGGATTTTTCAGAAAGCTGACCTACCAAACTCCTCACTGAGCAAAGAGGGAATTGATGAGGAAGAGCAAGTAAGGAAATGCTTGAAAAACACAAGTATATTTAGATTACGTGCTCTGTAGAGGCATTCATGTTCCAGCTGCCAGATTGCTCACCTCTTCACCTTGCCACATTGTTATCTTTGTGTTCACTTAGATTCCAGCCTTTGCATCCTACAATTTAGCTCCCCATTTCTTGTTCCTGTTTCCTGTCTATGGTCTTGTGCAAATCAGAGGTCCCTGCTAACTGGCGGGTTTATTATTTATTCTGTTACATTATTTATTCTGTTTATTCTCTGATCTGTTAAAGCAACAGATATTGATTTTACTGATCTTACTACTCTCTTTCATGGCTATTTGTATGCCATAAGGCTAGCTTCACAGTCAGCAGGTAGCTGACACCTTCAGGGTGCTTCATGGGCATTTTTAATATCTGTTTTCTGAGCCAGTGAAAGCAGAGTTAGGGCTTGAGATGTTTGTTAGCTGTCTTTTATTTCTGTGTCACTTGTGGTGTAATCTTTGTCAGCAGTACGCAGGGGCTCTTTGTAGTGGGCGCATGCTAAGTTTAAGGGGACATACTTTTCTGCTGCTTAAGAAGGAACTGTATGTCCCAGTGTTTCTAACAAGAGTTTGGGGATACAAGGAGCTTAGTACAGGAATCCCTTCGTACTTCTGAAATCTCTACTGTTCCATAACCCGACACAAACATGAAATTAAAATTGAGCACACACTGTCACAAGCTTAGTATACAAGTACCAGTGTGTACTTGCTTCCTGAAAAGTACCAGCTTCTTGAAAATTGTGATTTTAAGGAAGAGACACTTTACTTTTTATGGGTGTATAAAGGCTTTTGACATCAGTGGGTAATTTAGGGCATGACACTAACTATACTGTCTCTTTTTGCAGGTGCTTTCTGAATCTTCTTCCAAATCAGGAGGTTATCGCCTCTTCAGCACTTACTCAAGGCAGTCTTCTGAGATGAAGCAAAGTGGCTTAGGTACTGTACTTGACCTATACTCAGCCTGCTCACCTGTACCTCTGTATTTTTGCGTGCATCTGTCTGTCCCTTCCCATATACATCTGGCTTAAGTTCCTTGTATGTCTGTGTATATGTGTTATCTCTTCTTGTAGTGTTACTGCCTCGACTGCTATAAAGGCTATCTTATTGTAATGCCTTTTGTGTATGATCTTTTCCTTCAGTTTCTAGCAACAGAAGATGCACCTGTCATCTTTTATAGCACGAAACAACAGAGCAAGCTGTGTACTTAGAGACTGGACTTCTGCTTCTGTGTTGCTATCATTTGTTACACCATTTTTAACCTTAGTAGGAAGAGGTGATTTCACATGAGAACTAGTATGCTTTCTGTTCTGAAGAACGGTAATTTGTGAACAAAGCTGCTCTTCATGTAAGATTATTTTATTTCTACCTTTGTTTCATAAAGAACTCTTGTATGGAACAGCTCTGTCATCTGCTGCAATGTTTTGACAGCTTCAGTTGAGCTAGGATCCACTGGTTAGCTGTTCTTTGCATGGTAGCCAGTGGCAGAAAGTATTTTGGGGCCGTTGGTGTTCTCCATGTGTTCTTGAGGATACCATTCCCTGTCAACCTAAGCTAAGCTATGTGTTAATAGTGGAATTTTTTCCTGAAATATTTTTGCTAAAGCAAGATTTGTTTGGAAGGTGAATAGCAGTCTCTGGTGTCATGAGGTTTAAAGTAGCTGAGAAACCCAGATCCTGAAGATTACTAATAAGCACCAGGAGGTGGAAGTGCCCAAGTTATGCTCACTTTCTTTTTCTTTAAAGTCGTTTTTTACATTTTGGCTTTGAGGCATGGCCACAGATTTCCTTGCAGAAGTTCTGATTTACCGGTTCTTTTCTCTGTTATGTGGGCATCCTGCAGCCAAGGGTTTTCTGAAAGGCCTGATCTTTTTTTTTTTTTTGTCATTTTTGAATGATATGCTTCTTTGGAAACTAATTCTTGCCAAGTTAATTGAATATTCTTTGGAATAATAAGGAAATATCCATGGAGTCTGCAACCTATAGCTCCAGCCAGCTGGAAAAGTGTAAGAAGTAATGCTGATGCATATTATTTTCTTAAAGGCATAATAACTTTGGCCATAGTGGTTTTTGAGTGTGGTATATCTACTGCCTTTCGCAGACCACCTGCAGGATTAAGGAAGCTACAATAAACTGCCTTGATGAGGCTTGAGGAAACCTGTGGTTAGTCTGTGAATCCATGTGAATTAATATGAGAATTTCTAAGATAGCACACACTCAATGAAGCACATCTGTTTGAAAAATGAATACATCAAATGCAACATGCAAACTGTCTTCAGTGTTTGGATTTCTGAGTGCCAGGAGGCATGTGTTCTGGAAAGATTTTACCGCATAGATATTATACCGTTTTCGAGGATTCTGAGGAATGTATGTTTTGGGGATAGAGAAGACTACTGCTATACTGCTATACTAGTCCTCTTGCAGAGGACTAGTTTTCCTTGACAGCAAAATTTAAAATGTAATCCCATCAGGTTTAATACCAGGTTCTTGCCTGACTTGCCTTGCAGGAAAGCCTTTGCTGATCACTTCCAACTGTGAAGCTCTGCAGAGGCAAAACTTTGGGTAGGAATTGACCAGATCTGTGACAGTAGATACAGCTGGATACTCAGTTCAGTCTGTAGAGACTTGCAGCTGCATGCAAAGAAGGGTTGAGCAGAAGAGACTTGTGGTGCAACACCAGCTTGCACAATCTCTGATTATTAGGATGTCTGTTTCTGTGAATTTCTCTCAGCCTGAGAACTGTTGAAAAGAATGGTGCCTCTTTACCTTTAAAAGTCAAGCTCTTCAAGGAATATTCCTGCTTATTTTGTAGAAATCTAATTGCTTCCCCCTTTATGATCTGAAATGCTCTGTCTTGGAGAAAGAATATAGAACTCATGTGAGCTTGAACTTTGGCTTTAATACTTGTCTCAGCAGCTGTGCTATGAGGTGGTTCATTCAGATGCTACCACTGTTTCTGAGCTTTTTTGAAGCTGAGCTTACTCTCTTGCTGCCTGACCTTGTCAGTGTCTGGCTATTTATCTCTGAGGGAACATTTCCATCTCTTCAGGTATAACCTTGTATGTTGAGGCATACAGGAAAGGGGAGCAGGGCAGAGCTCCTAGAATAGCCCTGTTTCCATACCTGCTAGAATTCTGTCTTTAGAGTATTTAAAAATATGCCTTAAAATGGCTGTTTGGAAAAGGGGAGAGCAGCAGCTTGCTTCGTCCTTGCAGTGTGATGCTTTGGAGTATGCCTCATTTTTCTGGGCAAGAGCAAGTGCATCATTATGGATTGTCTGCAGTATTTTGCATGTTTCTGGCTTGAGAAGCCTAGGGATCTTTCAATGCCTTTCTTCGCTTGCAAGGACACTGAAATGGGATAAAATCTCTCCTTGCTGTTTGAGTAAGAGGTGGTGTATTGCTGGTGGGGATGACAGCCTTGTTCTGAGACTTCCTTTCCCATAGGGAAACAGGAGATGTCCATTTTTAAACATCTGAAACATTGAATAGACATCTGAAAATTAAATATACAAAAATAATCCAGTACACGCTGCTGTTTCTGGCAAGTGTTGCTACATCTTAAAACCAATTTGCTAGTATACCATTATGTTTTGAGGATGTGTGTTTGTTTGTTTACTTTGGTTACAGTGAACTCCTAGAGTTTATTCATAGATGATTGCTGTCATCCACAGTCATCCTTGTAAATTCTATTCAGGTTTAAGGGTGCGTATGGAGTGCGTTTTGTACTGTAGCAGAACAGAACCACTGGGGTATCCCTAGCTTAATGATTATTGACGCAAGACTGCAGAAGATAGTAAGTGATAAAAATATTCTGTTACATTTTTATTTGCTGGTAAACGAGTCTCGTTTTTGATGTTGTTTGTTTTAAACCGTAGAAGGATGACTGTGAACATCATGCTGGCTGCCACTTGACAAAATTTTGTTTGCTTTCTGACAGATTCCAGTTCATGCTGAGTCACCACTGAACTTCACTTTAAGGCATTAGGAGAAAATTTTCTAAGGCTTGCGTATCAGTCACCCTGCAGGCAAGAGTTCTTTGCCTATTTGTCGAAGGACATGTACGTGCTAGTCTGTCATGCTGGAAAAGCTATCAGCAGCGATATGGTGGAGTAGCTAAGGTTCAGTGCATATGAGAACTCTTTATCATCCTCCACTGTTCCAAGAAGCAGGTGCTGTCAGCTGAGGCTGAGCTTACATATGAATAACTCAAAGCTCAGGATCTGTGTTTTTTTTTTTCTCCAGAGGCTCCAGCTAAAAAGCAGTCTTGTAGAAAAAGGGCTGGCATCATCATTGGCAACAAATGGACGCTAGGCAGCAGTGCACCCTTCCACCAGAGGAAGACAATGGCTTGCTTTCTCTGCTGGGTTAACAGGGCTGTAGCAGGCAGGCTGAGGGAGCTGTTTTTTCTTCTCTGTTCAGCATCTGTGAGACTGTCTGAAGTACTGCTGTCCTGTCCTGAGCTCCCTAGTGCAAGAAGGGCATGGACATAGGCTTATGTAAGTCCAGTTTGGGGCAGTGGAGGTGGGTGGGAGCTGGAGCGCGCAGTTGATGAGAAACCGAGAGAGCTGGGCTTGTGCAGTCTTTGTGTCAGAAGCTGAATGGAGGATGGAGACCTTAATGTGATTCAGCCACCTAAATGGGAGGTTACAGAGAATACAGAGACAGACTCTTCTCCAAGGCACATGGTGATAGAATGAGAACCAACAGGCAGAAACTGCAGCATGGGAAATTCCAATTAGTGACGAGGAGCACAGTTTTCACAAATGCACCAAATACTGGAACAGGGACCTTGACAGGTGGGGAAATCTCCTTCCTTGGAGGTATGCAAAACTTGACTGGACAAACCCTAGCAAGCTCATCCAAGTTGGTCTTGCTAGGGGTATTGGGAAAGAAGCTTCCAAAGGTTCCTTCCAACTTAAATTGTGCTGTATTTTAGAGCCAAGAGCTGCTTGCAATATAGGCAGAATCTTTTTAACAGTAGTAACAGTTGCATTGTTCCACATAATGCTAGAAGGCAGTATGTTAGGGTTTTCATCCTGGCAGATAAGATGGAGCAAGATCAACCTGCTTGTTTCTGGAAGCAATGTATGTGGGAGTAATGTTGTTTTTTAGTAGTTGGTATTCTCAGTACAGACTGTAGTCTCAAGACAGTTTAACAGAGAATTCATAGACAATCAGTGGTTTCTCTGGCCCATAAGAAGTTTGTTGTTTTTTTTTTCCTCATGGACAGTTGCTTTTCTTGGTCAAAAGAGTCCTGTTTCTAATGCCCAGAAGTTCCTTAAATATCACATAAAGTCAAGTTGCTGTAAAAAATGCTGTACTTCACAGAAGGAAACACCAGCACTTTCCAAAGCCACTGGTCTTAGGTTGCCCTTCTGTGCTTGAGACAATTTTGAACACCTTAATCGTTGCCACAGGTTATGCAAATCTCCACACTGTGGGGGCATCTGGTGCTTTGTGGATGTAGATCATGGAACATTTGGACCCACTCAGGAGTCAAAGCATGACCATGTGGATGTGAAATATCATCTGGGCAGCAGCTTGAGAAAGAAAATTCTCTGGTCGTATTGCTTTCCTTACTGCTTGACAGAGCAATTAATCTCCATTTACAGCAACAGATTAAACACATTGAAACTTATTAGATGTAGACAACCCTTTCTCCTTCTCAGTGCCCTGCAGAAGAAGGAAACAAAGAGAAACATGTGACATGAACATCAGTGATTTGCATCCTGGCTTTTCTGATATGAGTACTTAGCTTTGCTGACTGGCAGATGTCAAGATGTTTTTCCTAGACCAGGACGGAAGAGCCAGAGGGAAATAAACCACTGGAAGAAGTTAGGAGCTTTCTTGGAGCTGAGTATTGGGCCTACCTGATGTGCATTTGTCACTGCTGAATTGAGAATGGGGTTTACTGCCTCCCCACGCTCCCCTAGCATCAATTTCTTCCTGAGATGCCTGTGAAGTAGGCAGTTTATTCCTCATTCTTTGACTAACCCTGCTTTTCTGTAGTTGCATGTGGTGGAGATGTAATACTAACACCTTCCATGCCTTTCCAGGGTCACAATGCACCGGCCTGTTTAGCACCACTGTGCTGGGAGGCTCCTCCAGTGCCCCCAACCTCCAGGACTACGCACGCAGCCATGGCAAAAAGTTTGCCAGCAGCCTGACATACAAAGACGGTATGTGTGTTCTCTGTGCAGCAGGTTAATTTGTGGACTTTGGTGTCTCAGGATACTACTAAGGCAGAGACTTAGGCCATTAAGAAGAGCGACACGGTTGAATGCGTGTATTCGCCGCATCTGCAGTAATGCATTTTGTCATATCCCAAGAAATCATGAGCCCTGCTAGGACAAGACAGGAGCTGACATTGTGTGAGGAGCTTTATGCTGATGTATGGTAGTGCTGGTGTATGGTCATGCTGGTGTCTGATTCTGCTCTCATATTTTAATACTACTTGCTGTCGTGGAAGAGGGATTATTGGTCTGGATAGGAAATAGGTTTGTCCTGGTACTGAAATCCAGCACGTCAAATCATTTTGCTTGTCTTGGTGATCTTCCTGATGCTAAGCCAATGTTTTTTTGAGATAGTAATGCTCAACGTACAGAAGATGGGGCCATCCCAAAGGCAGTGTGATGTGCTGGGTGGAATAAGATGAGTGCTGGAGACCCCATCTGTGCACTAGGCACACAGAAGAGTCTGAGAGAGCTGTCAGAAAGCAAGTGTAATAGTTGTGATATGCTTGTGATATACTGCAAAAGGACTGTAAGGTTTAGTTATTGTGACTAGTTTGTACTGCTGTATAGTTCAGGAAGACAGCCTGGTAAAATGTATTTGGGCCATTAGTATAAATGTTGTACAGTGTGCATGGATGAAGGGGTGTTGCCAGCTGAGGACTGATCTGCAGTTAGTGCATTATGTATTGAGAAGCAGAAAGTCTATTGCTACTTTCAAGGAAACTGGAGCACAGGAAAAGGCCGAGGTGTCCTGGAGGAGTTGTAGGAATGTCATGCATCAGTGGAAGTGTTCTTTATGATCCCAGTAAGAAGGTCGTTCAGATTCTGTAAAATATTGAGAACAGATTAGGTGATGAATTGATTGAGAGCAGCACTGCAGAGAAGGACCTGGGGAAAGCTGATGGATTCAAAACTGAATGTGAGCCTACAATGTGCACGTGCTGTCCAGGAAGCAGGTCCAGAGGCGGGCCATGAAAGTCATCAGAGGTCTGGACACCTCTCCTGTGAAGACAGGCTGAGAGAGTTGCAGTGGTTCAGCCTGGAGAAGAGAAGGCTCTGGAGGGACATTACTGTGGCCTTTCATTATATAAAAAGAAAGAAATTTTCTCTTTATAAGAAAGAGAGACTTTTTTTTTTTTTTAATAAGGAAGAAATTTTTTGCAACAAATGTGGTGAGACACTGGAACAGGTTGCTGAGAGAAGCTGTGGATGCCCCATCACTGGAGGTGTTCAAAGTCAGGTTGGACAGGGCTTTGAGCAACCTGATACAGTGAAAGATGTCCATTGCAGGGCGCTTGGACTAGATCTTTAAGGGTCCTTTCCAACCAAGACTGTTGGTCAAAAGTAACACAGGAAGGGAGAGAGGACAAATGATCTTATATGTCCCTTCAGGTACTGCAAACACTGAGTTATGCAGCATTGGACAAGCCTCTCCATGGATGGGGTCTGCACAGTGTGCTGTGCATTGGTTGGAAATCCATCCAGTACTTCACAACTCGGGTTTCCCAGCATTTGGATGGATTATTATTTGTTACTGTGTCTGAGTGCCTTTCTTACTGGGATCACAATGAACACAACACCAGTATGTGACAAGCTGGGGAGATAACTAAGGTTATAATTTGTGGCATTGGGGAAAACAGGAGATTGATTCGTTTGGATTTTTGTTTTAAGGCAAGGAAAATGTTCTAGCCAATCAGGGTGTTAAGATGTTCTCCAATGCACAGACCTGTTGGAACCCCCTGAATACTGTTGTATTGAGACCATTAGGTACACCAGCTTTCTGTGCTGTTTTGCAGAGTGTAAGAGAAAATGGTGTTGCTTTTCACCTCCTTAGAGAGCTCCCTAGCAAACAACAGGCTGTGTGATAGAGACAAGGAGGATGAACTGGAAGGATTTTTTAAACCCTGCTGCACAAGCCTGAGTGCTGGCGACCTGTGGATCCCAGAGTAAGCTCATGTGTTTGGCACAAGATGGATATGGATACCAAGAAAGCCACTTGAAAAGGCCAACTAGGGCTCTGGCTGATTTTCTTCCACAACTGTGCAAGCATTGTGGGCTGAAGGCAGTACTAATTCTCAGGGAAAACTGTTAGACTGCTTGCTCTGTGCTCAACTGGGAACAGGACAGATTCTGCTCAGTCCTGGTGCAGCGCTGCCTTCCTCCATAGGCTGTGTGGTGGGACTGTGCCTGCAGCTGGCTTCTGGCAGTCAAGGTCCACAGCAGACACCTACTGCTTTAGCCTAAATTCTGCAACAAGGTTTCTGTGTGCTTAGATGCAGCTGTGCATTCAAGTATTTAAAAGTCAGACTTACTTAACTAATATGTGACTAACATAATGCAGAATTACTCATCTTGTTGGTATGTTTCATTTTTCACATTTCGTAGTGTGCTATGGCACCCTGTGCCACCAGTGCCCTGCTGCAAAAATAAGAAGAAATTGGGAGGGTTGGAAAAACAAATAGGAGTCAGAAGGACATTTATCTTCTGGGGAAGGTAGTTTGGAATGTGAAATAAGCCCTTAATCTGTTTGTTCTGCTCAAACAAGTACCAATGAAATGATGAACATTGGCATTTAAAACAAACATGACTAGAACTGACTGCAGTAAGTGACATAGCAGCTACAGCAGTCTCTTGGGAGTACACTTGTATCAAGGCTTTTTTTGCAGTCAGGCTAATAGTCTTTAAAAAGCCTTCAGATTCTGAAGCATGTCTTTGCATGAACTCTGACAATTTTTCATGGCTGATGCTTCAGGATACGATGCATGGCTTATAGCACTTCATCATAGACTTGCTCAAGTGGCCCTTATGTCTTTTTGCTTGGGACTGGGAAGAGGGTTAAGCAAGACCTCAGTGGAGAGTTATGTCCCAAGCTCAGGTTGAGGGAAGGTCCACTGATGGTGATGCTTTGAAGTTGGTTTGTCTGAAGCCAGTGGTCCAGTAGCCTATGTTGCAGCACCATTTAAATTGATGTCCTGATAAAGGACTGGTGTCCCTGGCAAGATTGAGATGGTTACCAGCTGACTGACTGAAGCACTAGGACTCAGACACTTCTCAGAGGATGCACATGTAGGGAAGCTTTGCCATCTATCTGTTGAGTTTAAAGAGGAAAAAAAAATTCTAGGGCTATGACATTGCAAAAGGAAATTGCAGCAGCCTTTAGAGTCGGTTTAAATATATTATATGGGCAAGTCGGTTGGTGTAAATAGAGAAGTACAACGTGGGGTGTGGCAGCATAAATTGGTATGTAAGACCCCTAACCTTGGTGTACAGTGATAGGCATACAGACTAGGTGGAATGGATGCATGAAACATGAAATAGAAATTACATCCTCAGTTCCTAAATAGTAGCAAAAGATATGATTGGCTGGGCTCTCACACCAAGTCATACGTACAGGTGGTCTAGACCGTTCTTTCTCATGATAGACTGGGGGAAGAGTGACTGGAAAGCTGCCTGGCAAAGCTGTGTGCTCAGGTGGCCAAGAAGGCCAACAGCATCCTGGCTTGTATCAGCAAGTGTGGCCAGCAGGGTTAGGGAAGTGATTGTTCCTCTCTACTCAGCTCTGGTGAGGCCACACGTTGAATACTGTGTTCAGTTTTGGGCCCCTCACTACAAGAAGGACATCAAGGTGCTAGGGTGCACCCAGAGAAGGGCAGCGAAGCTGGTGAAGGGTCTAGAGAACAAGTCTGATGAGTAGCAGCTGAGGGAGCTGGGGTTGTTCAGCCTAGAGAAGAGGAGGCTCAGGGGAGACCTTATCATGCTCTACAGTTACCTTGAAAGAGGCTATAGCAAGGTGGGGAATGGTCTCTTCTCCCAAGCACCCAGTGATAAGACAAGAGGAAATGGCCTTTAGTTGTGCCAGGGGAGGTTTAGGTTGGATATTAAGAAAATTTTTTTCACTGAAAGGGTTGTGAAGTATTGGAACAGACTACCCAAGGAAATAGTTGAGTCACCATCCCTGGTGGTCTTAAAAAAAACATGTAGATGTAGTGCTTGGTGACATGGTTTAATGGTGATCTTGGTAGTTCAAGGTTAAAGGTTTGACTGGGTGATTGTAGAAGTCTTTTCCAACCTAAGTGATTCTGTGATAGCCAAGGAATTCCCAGAGTGGGAATAAGCTGAAGTTTTAATCCTTTTGGGTTGCTTTTTTTTTTTTTTTTTTTTTGAGCATATGGAGAGTAATCCATGTGTTTTAAAACTCAACTGTTTGTGCCTCATTAGATGCATAGAGCCTATCCTTGCACTAACTGTCTTTCTGATGTTTGATTTCTGTAAGAGACCTTGGTCTGATTTGCTCCATGGCTCTAAGAGAAGCCTGAGGACCAGTGTGACAAGTGCATCCCAAAACGTCTTCCATATTGAAATGCTTTGAGCAACAGAACTGCAGAGGCATGCCTTCATGGGTGTTGATTAAGCTTTTAAATTCGCAGATATCTGTGTTTAACTTGCATTAAGAGGATGTTTTGAGCTGCTCTTTCCAGTGCCACAGCTTTTCAGTTCCTCTGTAGAACAGCGTGTTTTCCTTGGGCAGAGGTGAATCCTGAGGACTATGGTTCCAGGTTTTCAGGGTATTCTCTAGTGCTGCTGATTGCCTGGTAATGTGCTTTTGTACTTGCAAGCATGGCCTACTTGCATCTTTCACCGGACTGAGCCTGGCTTTCCATCAAGATGGCTGGAAGTGTGGTAGGAAGGAGTGTGACCAAGGAGTTTATAGGGTCAGGGGAGCCACTGGTAGGACGGTGCAAGGAAAGTGGGGAGCTGACAGTGTCCAAGGAACCTCAGAGCTTCAGTCAGACCTGTGAGCAGAAAGTGCCTGGGGTGCTACAACAGTGACAGTGGGAGCATGTGTTATGGGGGTCAAGCCAGGAGGTGAACTTGAAAGGGTAGTTGCAAGCATATGAAGGCTGGGGGATCCTTAGAGGTAGGCTGTTAACTGAGATGATCTGTTTTTATTTCCTCAGAGCTCTTGTCTATGCCAGCCGTAAAACGATTTTCTGTGTCGTTTGCAAAGCATCCGACTAATGGTACGTTTGCTTCCTTGATTTGACGTTCCCTCACACTTCTAACCCCATGCTCACATTCAGTTCTCCTCTCTGCACATGCTCTCCTTTCAGCCGCCTTGTGTTTTTTTGCGTGTCTGTGTATCTGGTGTCCAAACATGCTTCACCTTTCCCCATTGTCTCATTGTGACTAACTTGTTCACTCATCTGCTGTTACTGCACAATGGTTCCCGTGCTGTTTGTGGGAGATCTGTCAGGCTGCTTTCCCTCCCAGACATCTGTGTGAAAAAGCAACAGCAGTGGCTTTGTGAATGGACTCCTAAAGCAGCCTTTAATTCCACTGCTGATGTTAAGGCCTTCTCATGTGCTGCCTTGCAGGGGGTGGAGAGAATGCTCTTGGATTTGAGGGTGTGTGGGGATATCTACTCCATATCCTAAGAGCACTGCAGCTTAGGTCTTCAGTTTCTGCAGAGCAGATCTTAAGGATCAAAACAAGGACATCCTGGAGCTACATGTGTGTCACCTTGAAAAGTGCAGTCTGCGTGGGAGAGCAGGAGGTGCTAGCAGCATTCCTTCTGCACATTGTATTCCTTAGCACAGTGGTCGTAGGAGGCCATGAGGTCACTGGTACTCCTATTTGCAAACTTGTTTGTTATGGTGGTCCCTTGGTTACTCCAAGCGTGGTGGTGCTGGTGGGAGTAGTCTCACCTTTCCTGATGACGTTATCCTGGAAATGATGTCTCTCCAGGTATTTCATCTGCTGATGGTGTACAGTGCTGGCTTGGGCCTGGTGTCATCCCAAACTAGGAGGGGATCAGCAGTGTGCCACGCAGGGTGATGTGACCATATTCACTCCTGTTGTGCTAGTAGCTATGAAGAGGCTTGGTAGGGAAAGATATCTGACTGTGCTTATATTTACTCACCATCTCTGCTTCATATTGCTAGTAACCTAACACCTGAACTGTGAGTCTTCCGAGATTAAAGACCACTACATGGGTTGTAGCAGATGCCTTGAGCTACTATTTATTATAGCTTACCCTGAAACTTTTGAAAAGGTTTGTTTCATAGCACCACTCCTACCCATACCTCATGGCTCCTGCTGTTGAGACAAGTTAGATCCAAAGCACATCACTGAAAGATACCAGGTTAAGTATTTCTGTCTTAAGTGGTCACAGCTGCTTCTGGAATCTTGTTGCTTAGTAAATGCGAAGAAATTCTGCTCTCTGTGATCTGGAAGATGAAGGAAATCTAGAAGACTGTTACAAAGACCAAAGTTCTGGGAAAGATGAAAGAGGAGGGGACAACTAACTGTGGCTTTGTTTCACATATCTAAAGGGAACCTATTTTCTCTTTGCTTGGTTTTGTTTTTCCTTGAGTTGCCAACTGCTCAATTTGTATGTGTGGAAACCATCTGAGAAAACAAGGTGTATGTCAGCAGGATGTGTCATTCTATCTTGCCAACAAAACTTATACCAAGTACTGGTCTTTCCCAAGCCACATTGTAAAGCACCTGCCCCCTACAAAAAATACAATAAAACGAAACTGAGCATCAGATTTTCTCAAGAACCCAATGAATATTTCTAATAGTAAAGTGATTCTTAATCAAGAAAACAAAGACAGAGGTCCAGCAGGTCTGAACTTGAAGTTAAGCATCTTTTTAACAGCAAGGACATTTAGCTGCATGAACCACTTGCCTGAGGACGCAGAAGTTACTTGTAGCCCTAAATCTGTTTTTGCTTTTTTTTTTTCTTAAGAGCTGCCTCAACTTGGTGAGACGGGATGGGTGAACTAGAGCCATGGCCAAGCACAGTGTCAAGCCAGATGTTGCATGACCTGATCTCACGAGTCTTGGGAGCTCAGTATGAGTCCTGAGGCTGAACGCATGGAGAAGCTGTATCTAGTACTAGCTAGATACTGGCTAGTACTGTATCTAGTACTAGCAGATACTGGCTAGTATCTGGACTGCCATGCAATGGCAAGGACATCACAAAAGATTGCACAGGGCTGTTTTGAGAGTCTATAGATGGAAGGTCAGTGCTTCTGTTTTTCTACACACACTAACAATATGTTCTCAGTCAAGCCCTGCTGTCCCCACAGTGTATCTTGCACAGCCTCCAGTCATTTGGTGCCAGGTCATTTGTTCTCTTCCATGTGCTGAAGTGACTGGCTGCACTTGGATGCAGAACTTTGTGCTTTGTTGGCAGTCTGGAGTTCTTGTCTCCTCTGGGAGGGTGAGTCTGGGCCTGTCTTTCTTATACTGCTGAACCTGAACTGTATTGGACTTGGAATATGTTGTGGAATTTATTCATTTGTCAGACTTCCACTTAAAAAGGTGAATCCTTGCTGTTCTGCTTGTGGTGGGACTGCCCATGCGCTGCAGTCGTGTTTGGCAGAGGCTGGGCCAGCTGGGAGTCTGCCCTGCTGCATTAAGATTTGGGGTACGTAGCACTGAGAGTATTCCTGGTCTGCTTACTGTGGGAGGGACCGGGCTGCGGTGTGCGATGAGGGTCATCTCCCGTGCAGCAGCCCCAGTGCTGGCAGCTCCGCTCCATTCCCCACATCTCTACGTTTTTTCTATTTCGCAGCTGCGCCTCCCCACTCCTCTCACTCTTTATGGCCCCCTTTCCTCCAGATGCGTTTGAGCACCACCACGTTGCCCAGTTGCTGCGCCGTTTTTCCTCTGACTATGCCACGAGCCGGAACATCTCACTGGATGCCACTCTAGCCCATCACCTCCAGCAGTGCTCCTACCACCTGCGCCTCTTCAGGAGCTGGCTGATCTCAGGGCAGGATGACTTGGAGTGTCTTTACGGTACTGCACGCTGCAGCTGCCTTGGTCCCGTGCTCTTGTAGCTGAGTAGGGACCACTGTCTGCTTGGAAATGCAAAGTATGCTTTGCTTCTAAAAAAGGAAAGCCTTTCCCTCACTGCATCCCTTAAATCTCTGGGTGGCTGCTGCAGCAAGGCGTGTGGGCTGTTGCACCCAGCGGTTTTGGAGCTTTAGGAAGTTGCCTTTTCACGTGGAGCCAGTGCTCTTTGTGTAGCTCTAACTCTGCTCTTTCCATCCTAGGCAATTGTTCATTGCCTCCTTCCTTTAGCCAGGGTAAGCCCATAAGCTTCCCTCAAGTGAAATGCTGTGCTTCTACCAGTGTGATGCCCTGCTGACATGATATGCCTGTGCAGGTCTCAGCAGGGTGCTCCTTGGTGTCCCATTATTAATGGAGGAACCAAAATGGATAATAAGAGTGTGGGAAGAAGGACTTAGGATGCACTGCAGCTGCTCACATGCAGGGTGAACTTGGTGTGGAAATTCAGGGAAAGTGACTGCTTGTGGGATTGTGTTATTTATAGAGAGACCAAGTTAAGCTAGAGTAGACACTGAGCCTCTGTTTGTCTGCATTGCATGGCATCTGTTCTGCCTGTTAGGATGTTTGCAGCGTGTCATGTGTCTGGTGGGAAGATGTAGGTGATTTCACTACTGAATCCAGATGTTATAAATCAAAGTCTGCTACTATTTCTTGGGTATTTGTCAGCATCTAGCATGGGTGGGAAGTCTGATGTGTTGACGTCTCCCTGCTCCGGAGAAAAGTAAAAAGATTCCTCTCTGAGAGGGGCAGCTAGCTAGGGCTGGCTGTTAATGTTCACCCTGCACCATAAAACCTGCTTGGTGCATGTGGCTTGCTGAGCTGTGTGGTGTGATGCATGGACTTCCTTTTTCATTCAGACTCATAGGTGGAAGGAGTAGGGTAGACCTAGTATAGCTTTTCATGTAGTGAAGCACCAGGATCAAGCAATTTTCAGAGCCTGGAACTGAGAGTTTTTCATATTTGGTCTATTTTTTTCTTGATATGGCCCTTTCTGTAAAGTAGTCGATTTGGATATGGCAGTTGCTTTTCATCTATAATTAGGACAATCCCTGGTCTCCTAGCAACAAGTACTAAAGAGGATCAGAACTGCTTGAAGGGATGAAATGCTGGAACAAAGCAGACTGTTCCAAAGCCAAAGCTGAGTTTCCCCTGCTGCAGATCTCGACCATCTCCTGTGAGCTCCTGGAGAGAGAGGAAATGAACTCAGCACTTTGGGCAGTGATACTCCAAATATTGCAGGCTGATTCTGGGTTGTGCCACCTATCCTAATGCAGCCGAGCTGTGAGCTATGCACATCGACATAAGAGCTTTCCTGTGAGGAAATTAGATCTCTGCGCTTGTTAAGTTCTTTTTTTCTGCTGTTTTCCCTGTCTGAGTGTCATCCAGCCCACAGTTAATTAACATGTTTGGAATTCCTGCTGGGGTTCTTCCTTGAAAAGTTTCTCCTCTCTCTGTAGCTGACAGTCCTACTTCCCCCCTTTGTAAAAACTAGGAAATCCTATCAACTTTTTCTCATCTCTCAACTGTACTTCTGTCCACACAAAAGAATTAAAAGAAAGAAACAGGGAGTTGAAGTTTGTAGCGAGCATCTGCGGTTGGAGGGATCAATGGTGAAGCCTTGAAGTGATTGGTCTGGGAACATGTGCTCGTCTAGTTAAAAAAAAAAAAATGGAAGAGCGTAAAGTTAGCTTGTGTTGGTAATGAAATACAGCAGTAGTAAGGGCAAAGATCAGCTGTGAAGAAGCACAGAAGGACTGTGTGATAATGAGTGACTGGGCAGTAAAACAGCAGGTGATATTCACTGTAAATAAATTGAGAATAACAGGGAGAAACTGACCCAAATTCATACATAAAATGATGGGCTCTGAGCTAACCATCACCACTGGGAAAGATACGGAAAAGGTAGAAAGTCTGGGAAGAGTGATTTTGGTAGTAGTCTGGATGGTCTGGAGAGGTGGTAGGGATCTGCAGTTCAGTCTCTGCTCCAGTACAAGAGCTACGAGGTTTCTAATAGACTAAGTAGGAGGCACGTCAGACAGAAGTGATTTTTTCTCACAGAGTGGAACTCCTCACAGCACTTCATGGGGGTGTTAAAAGCATAACTGAGTTTAAGGGGAGACTGGAGAATGTCTTGGAAGAGACACATTAGGTTGAGAACATTTCTGAGCCGCAGGTCTCTGGAGGTTGGGGGAGTGTTTGGGGAAGGAGCCGCTACATGCTGTCATGTCTCATACTGCCATCGTGAATATCCACTTCTGGCACTGTGGGCAGAGAGATACTGAACTAGAATAGACCTTCAGGCTGACTGCACAGGCTTAAATTTAGAAAGGCTGCTTAGCAAAAGTCCTTCATGTAGGTATGGACATGAAAAATGTATTTCATGTACGTATTATGTACGCATATATAAACACGTACAGATATACGTGCCATGGTGAAGCTCCCCAACACAGTAAAGCTTGACTGACCGGGCATTTGGAGGGGGAACTTGCTGAGTGTTCTTTCTCCCATCCCCTTCAGGATCTTTGCTAAGACTGAGGCGAGTGCTTCTTTACTCTGGAAGAGCTGACTTACAGACCTTTGGCACAGAGACCATTTGGGGATGTATCGGTGCCATTGGTCTGCCTCCTGCTTTCCGGATCTCTGCTGCAAAGGAATAGGTACTCCTTCCCCTGCAACGTAGATTTCACAACTGAAGACATGTGTAGTATCTTGGTAACTTCTGCTTATCAATGTATACTAATGTTCAGAACTCAGACAAAAATATAATCCACAAAAAGGATTGCTTTGGACCAAAAGAATTCTTACCTGAGCCTTCTCTGGCCTCTGTCTGTGTTGGCTGACAGCAGTCTGGATGCTTTCTACTTGCCAGCCTGTTGGAGCAGCCGGTGCCTTCTCTCTTTTAAGTAGCCTACTCGGTTAGTGCAGATGCTTGCCATATTTGGGACCTGAGCTCAATCTTAGTAAAGCTGAGGAACATGCCATTTGGACTACTTGAAAACTGCTTCTGTGACATAGCCACAAATTCTGCTGGCTCCCAGGTGAGCTGATGAATTACCAGTTCTAAGGGGTAATCACACCGGTGCCGATTTCATTCTGTGAGGAAATGCATTCCATATAAACTCAACTTTCCGAACTCATATTGAACAGTAAACTTTCTGCTGGTCTCTTTGGAGCACACACAGATTTTAGGAAACTTTGTGTTACCTTGAGTCAAATCAGGTGCTTCCACTTAATAAAATGGTGTTGATTTACTCAAGGTTTTGCCCTTTTATTTTTTCTTGTAGACTAGGACATCAGTAGTAATCAAGAAGATGCTTGTGAATTCAAAGTCTTGTTTCCTCTCTTATTCCTCCCTTCTTCCATTATATAGACCTCAGGGTGACTGGAGGAGATACAGCTCGATAGATAAAAAATACCTGTTAGATCTGCAGTGAAAGGGCAGTAGAGTAATGCAGCATGGAGGGTTCACCTGGTGATCTGTGATGTATTTGCCTGGAGTTCAGGCCATGTAATCATAAAGTAGGTGCTGGCTGCTTCAGAATTCATCATTATGTTCATACAAAAGGTGGTGCTTCTTGACCCTTTCTTTGGGGTCATCTGCTAACTGTTCACAAGAGTTGCATCTGTGTTCCTACTGCCTGCTGGAATCTCCTAGAAAACTGGGATTCTCTGGTTTAAATGGAGGACTTGAGGCAGGTTCAGGTCTCCATTGGCTTTATGTAGTGTAGTGTGCTTGGTAATCTCTGCAGAAGGGTCCTTATACCCAAGTTGCGTTTTATTAAAGTCTTTTAAAGCATTGTGTGTTGGTACTGGGCAGCTCTGAAAGCCCTACTCTAAGGTGAGAGTCACACTCTCCTTCAGCAATTGGAAGACTTCTTCATAAACTGTAGTTATAGAGAGTAGATGCTCTGACAGAGTGTGGTGATGTGCACATTTGCCAAGAAACTGCCAGGGGGAGAGCTCAAATGGGAATGTTGTTAACTCAGCTGTAATGTGATGGGGCTTTCAGCTTTGGCATCAGCATAGCTGGGAGAATTGAAACAGGACTTGTAATCCTGTTGTAAGAGCACTGGGTTGTACCTCCCAGTGCTCTGACCTGTAGAACAGCTCTTGGGGCAGTCCTGTGCTCTCTGCTGCTGTGTCAGGCTGCTCCTGTGTTATCATTCAGATTCCTCCACATCACATGTAGTCTCCTTGGACATCCAAAATAATGCAGACTCCTCTGTCTTGAGTATCTTAAGGTTTTTCCCATTACCAAATCTTGTTTACTCAACTCTTAAAGCCAATTTATTTTATTTTACTGAACAGAAAATTGAGAGCCATAGCCATGCTGTGCTCCTTGCCCAGAGGAGATTACAGCTGAGCTTGGGAGTCGTTTCTAGCTACTCTGGTCTGCAGAGCCCAGACATGTGCCTCTTTCTGCAGGTAGGTCTAACTGGAGGAAGCAGATTACTGCCTGCATCCCTAGTGCAGCTAGTGTAGACAAACCTGAATTAAATGAAAAATGGCTGTGGGCTGCTGTTTGATATAAAATGAATGAAATTCTGTTCACTTTCTTGTGCTATCATCCCCATCACAAACTCCTGCCCAGCAGGCCCCAAGAAAAAGAGTTCAGGAAGTATCATCAGGAGCTGAGCTGTCAGCACTGAGTAGCTGTCAAATTGGAAAGGTTCATGTGTTTTCCACTTGTGTTTTGTTTATTTGTTGCCTCTTCCCCAAGGTGCCAGTTCTTTGCTAAGCATGTGTTATGCAACAGTGCTCAGAGCCTTTGGTTTGGACTCTTACTACTGTTGTGATACAAGAACTATAGTCTATAACAATAACTTCTGCTTGAAACCGCTGTTGTTGGCCTCACCACAGCAAAGCGGCAGGTAAAGAGAAGTGTGCAGGGCAGTGGGCTGCCATATATAAATGAGAGGGCTTGCTTGAAAATTGTAAATGTAGTGCTTCCCCTTAAGAACAGAAAGATCCACTTTTCCTCCACTTTCTTGAGAGCAGTGAGATCACATATTGCTGAACAGATCTGTGCTAGCAGGCATTTGGCACTTCTGGGATCTAGGTGTATTGATTCACATCAGTGGTGGTGTCGGTGTCGCATGTTTCCTTTGACATTGGATATTTGATTTCTTCTCTATGTTAGAGGCATGCCCATGCACTCACATCCCTGTCGATGCCTCCAGCGTATCTTGTAACAACATTGCTTTGCCCTATGTTATATTTAATCTTCTTCCCTTTTTCTTTGGAGACCTGGATAGTTGAGCTGGCTTTGGCTTCTCTTAAATCAGGTTCTGTTGTGAACTGACATTAGCCTCTCCTGTGCTGCTCCAACACCATCTCCACTCTTCTGGTCTTTTAAGTGTTCACCTTACCCTTTTAGATCTGTCTCCAGGATGCTTTTCAGAATATAATTGAGTAAACAATGTTCCTTATTCAGCCTTTCTGCTCAAAGGATGTCTCAGCAAGGGACAGAAGACAATGGTGTTTTTTCTGTCTTACATTCCTTTGTTCCAGCCAAAGATTTGTTATCCTTATGTCTCGAATTAATGTTTGTAGGCTCTTTGTGGCACAGGTAACCTCTCCAGGTTGGCTGTAGGGTTCTTTATCTGCAGTAGCTGTTAAGATGGTAGTGAATGTCTCTGCAGCACTGCAAACTGGTGATGATCTGGTCTGTAGCCTCCTCGTATTGTATGTAGATTCACTCTAAATACCATCTGCTGGCTTGCACTCCTTGCCTCTTGCAGAACTGGGTTAGGTGAGTGTGTTTGAGCAGAGAGTGTCCAATGAAACCTGGAAGTGATTGGAACAATGTCTACTTTTAGCAGATACTCCAGGTACTCTTGATCTTCTTAGCAGGTGCTGTCAAGCTGCATGGACCAATTTTAGCCTGTCAGGGTGCTGGGCAGCAGTCCTGACACAGTAGTGCATCAAAAGCTGTTGCTCTTTTTGCTTTTCTAAGCAATCTTCCTTACCTGTAAGAACAGATATACAGATGATTCCTTCACCATTTTTTTTTTTCTGGGCTTCTCAGAGGGAGCTTGGGGAATCACAGAATAGGAAGCCTAAGCCTAAGTATAGAGGTCTTTAAACACAAGAGGCAGAGCAAAAGGAGGCATTCCCATGTGTCCAGAGCCTCATGTGTTTCTTCCTTGCTCCTCTGACAGATTCACATTGGCTTGGTGCCCCAAAGCGTTGCAAAGAAGCTTGGATGAAGAGGGATACGCTTTGCCATAATATTCTGCTGGCTTGAATAGCAAAGAATTTCTTGTCAGTGGCTGTGATGTAGCTTAGCTGTAAGCAAGTGTCTGTTAAATGTTGAGATACTTATTTCTGGTAATTCTGGGTTTGCTGGAAATGCAGTCTTTATGGGGACAAATAATTCAAACTGTTGCCCAGCCCTTCCTTGGGGGAGAGTTCTGTCAGGTGTACACTGGAGGGCCTGCTGTGGGAGAGGGAGGTTCTTTTTCCACTAAAAGGGTAAGGACACTTACCCTACCACTTACCACTGCATTGGTAGCAGTGTGCTCTAGCTCACTGATAGTGAGAGGGTGGACCGTGTCCCGGGCTGGAGTATCACTAATGGCAGGAGTCTTCATGGAAATTCTGTTGACTTCACTCAAATTGTCTTTAGCTTCTGCAAACTGTGGGGAACTATGCTGAGTTCTCTGTCATAAACAGATGTTTTAGTGAAAAAGTCACAAGTATTGCAGCAAAGGTTGTTGCTGCTAGATATGGTTCCTTCTCCTTCTCCTCCTTTTGCGTGTGCCTGGATGCTTGCTTTCAGGTCTGTTACTGCATGTGATTGCCTAATGGTGATTTTCTTGACCTAGAAAAGGAAAGGTGACTTTAGGCCTGAGAGTGGCTGTCGTTTGATTCCTAGACTGCCAAGCTCCTTAAGCCACGAGCAGTTCTGCATGGATTTGGGTTGTTGTTTGCTCAATTCATTTTCTGATTGGGTTTCTTTCCAGGTTTTGAAGGCTGTTCCATGGTTCCTACCATTTATCCCCTGGAGACCCTGCACAACTCCCTCTCTTTGCGACAGGTCAATGAGTTCCTGACGGCTGTGTGCAGGAGTTGCAGTGAGTCACACGTCCAGTCTACCGCAGGTACTGGTGAGGTGGGCTTGTTCCTGGGTAGGGCAGAGCAGAGCTGAGGCAAGCAGTCAGTTAAGGCCTTCTGGTCTTTCACATTTTTGGGGCAGATCAGTCTGCAGACAGGACTGGCAATAAGTGATCAGCCAGGTCTGTCTGCAGCTGATAAATGCAGTGATGTGGATACAAACTCCAGCTGGGTAAATCTGAGGGTTGGATTCCCAGGGGCTGCGGGCAAGCATGGCTCTGAATGTGCACTCTTAAGCTCTTTCCTGAATGCGTGCGACTGGCTACTGGGCTATGTAGTCTCTGGTTTGACCCAGTGTGGCCTTTCCTTTATCTCTCTCTGTCTGAATGTTACTGATCTGTATGTTTTCTTCTTTGTTTGTGTTTGTTTGTTTGTTTGTTTGTTTTTCTTGAAGCTTTGTTTGATTCAATGATTGGCAACCAGATACCAGGGGACCCCTTTATGTCTCAGCGAATCCTGTCATCATCCTCTTTCCCATTGCGCCAGCGTTCGGATAAGCCCCCTTGGTGTGAGTGTGCTTGCGTCTTGATCGGGGATGAAGAGGGGAGCAGAGGGTGCCAAATGCTGAAAGCCATGTATTGGTATTCAGGGTTTTTATGCTTTGGCTTTAAAGGAACAAAAACAGAAAGGGGAAGGAAGTCTCATGCCCTGTAAGAAAGCTACCAAAGAAAGATGGAAAAAGGAACTCTCTATATAGCATTGTATATCACAGGGAAATCTGCTGTTGGAGAGATGCTCTCTCCCCAGGCATCCTCTACTGAGTGCAATAGGACATAGCCTGAATGCACTTCATTTTTAACTCAAGTTCCTTGCTTCTCTGTGACACGTGTCCAACTGAGTGTCAGCATGTGGAAGCACCTTCCATACCCTATCAAACACATACATGCCTCACCCAGAACTCCACATTGGACAGCCTGTCATTTAGTTCTTCACTTACGGGCTTTTCTGTAGCTCCTGAGCCTCACTTGCTACAGCCTCTGCAGAGGTGGTGACTGTTGTTAATTCCTTTTGCAAATCTGGCTGGAACTCAAAGGGGAAAGGCTTATCAAACGGTTTCACAGCAAACGCATTAATAACACAAGTCAGTGTTGCCACTGAAAGGGCGGTTCCACTCTTCTTGCCATACACTCCTTGTTGCAGGAGTAGTGTGTACTGAGCTGTGTAGGGAGCAAGGCCAAGAAACTGATCCGGTGTACAGTTGTTTAATCCTCCCCCATTCATTGGACTAGATATAATCTAAATCTCTTCTCTGGTTTCACTCAAACAATGAAAACAAACAACAACAAAAGAAACAAAACAAAGCCAAACATTGGTGGTGAAGCAATATTTCTTCTTCCAGTGGCAACTCTAGTTCAACATTCAGGGATTTTGTGCTTCAGGAAGCAAGGGCACCAAAGTTAAAGTGTCCCATAATAATGAAGGAATGAAAGAAACTGCTTTTCAGCTCAAAGCCCAACATCAGATTTCACATGTGATGTGTTGGCATTATAGATAAACTGTATGACAAGATGTAAGTGTGGTGTTTGTGCTTGTGTTTTCATCAGCTGAGCTGCCAGAAGCACACCTAACAGCAGCTGCAAGCACCTACCAGGGTGCATGGCATGTAGGTGACCCTCACCCATTGCTTGTAGAACTTGTGGGACTGCAACAGCTTGGGTTTGCTCAGGCTTTGGGCTGGGGAAATATCAACTACATGTTTAAGATTTCTCTTCCTCTTTGCAGACAGCAGTGGCCCCTCCAGTACTGTCTCCAGTGCAGGCCCGTCCTCCCCAACCTCTTCGGACAGCTGTGCTCGTTTCAGCTTCACCGAGAAACTTTCCATCAGTCCCCCAAAAAGCGAGGAGCAGCTGAATAGCCAGTCCCCTGAGCAAGGAGAGAGAGAACCTGACAGAGGAGGGCTTGATGTGGAGGTGGGGGTGTCTGGGTTGTCAGTGGCTGAGCCAAGTGCCCCAGAAGCGCTGACCTGGAGTGAGGGCCCAGAGCCAGGTGGGGTCCTGGAGCTGTGCAAGAAGGAGCTGGCTGACAAGAACTCTAACCCAGAGAAGAACAGTGTGCTGGCGCTGGATGAAGAAGAATCATCTGGGGAAATGCTAGACCCAAGTAACACAGGGAAACCAAAGTGTCATGCAGAGTCTGAGATAAGGCCAGCTGGAGAGAGAGCGGAGCCCGGTGAAGGGTATTCAGGGGGAATGACTGGCCTGAGTCAGTCAGGGCTGTCCAAGAACATCTTGGTGCCCTGTGAAGACGAGTTGCTGGGAGAGGTGTTGGACCCAGAGCATATGGGCAAGGAGCCACTGGGGGACGGCGCTCTGTCAGGCCAGCTGCTGTCTGCTCAGCCGTGCCAGGAGCAGCCACTGCCTCCTGAGACAAGCGTGAAGGGGCTGCAGCCAATGCGTCAGGAGGGTCAGCAGAACTAGCGGCTAGCTGGACAGTACACTGCAAGCGCTTCTAGCCTGGAGGCAGCCCAACTTCCTGCACAACACTTCATGCAGCTGGCTGTCTGCAGCACAGAACAAGCCATATCCCAAGGCCACAAGACTCTGGGGTGTGGAAGAGTCTGCTCCACTCCTACACAAGCCAGCTCTTTGCCAACCAGCAAGAGATAACAAACACCCCATCTGCCCTGTTAAACAAACAAATGCAGTCTCAGTACTGGCACAGCACCTCCATGGAGTAGGGATGTGGCACTGCATCGGTGCAGGGTGTCCCCAGGGCTGTTTGCTTGCTGGGACAGCAGAGTTAGAGGATTGGTAGAGTCAAGGCTTTTGGGGTGGTAAGTCCAGCGGGGACAAATGCTCCCTAGAGATTTGTTGGCCCACAGCCTTCAGAGAAAGGCATTCTGGGTCCAAAGTAATTGGGTTCTTCACAACCGCCACCCTCCTCTGTTCCTTCCTTCCTCTCTTGATGCCCACCATTGGCCACCAAAACCAGATCCAGAGAGTCCATGTTGGGAAGAATAGGAAAAGGAGAAATCATTCTGAATGAGCGTGGGTAAGAATTTAATGAGAGGAACAGGTTCAAGACTGCCACTTGCAAGAAGAAATCTCTCTGGAGTGGACTTGAATATTTTTCTGCTGGGCTGGGGCAGGCAGAAGCCTGGAGATCCAGCCTGAGAGGGGTGTACAGGGAGCACACACGGGTTTTTCTAGTCCCCAAGGGTCAGGCAAGGTAAAGTTCTGAAGTCTTGGTGACAGAAATTAAGAGAAACTGCTATTTGAGCAAATCAGGATTGTTAGAAACCAATAAGGAGAAATCTTTATTATATATAAAATGAAAAGTATTTAATACATATTTATGTAAATGACCTGCGAGCACAAGCCTGAGGGCAACATTGACACAGGTTTCCCTGCTACATCCTTAGTGCAGGCCAGGACTGTGCTTCCTGCGCCTCCTGCATTTATGGACAAGTCTGTGTGTTTGTCTATAGCTAGGATTTATGTTTTTGTGAAGCTGTGCCCAAAGATCTCTGCGCTGTGTTGTGATGATGTACGTTCACAGTAAATCTCTGCTGTGGGTCTGGTGTCTGCCTTTGATGCTGACTAGTGCAGCAGTGTGTGTGTGCCAGAGCTTGCAGATGCCCAGGGCAGCAAGCACTGCGTGTTCTTGTCCACCCTGAAGGAACGAGGAACTGTGGCCAAGACTAGTTACAAATGAAGTGAGCGCACAGGCATGGGGCTCTGCTCAAGAAGGCCAGATACCTTTTTTCCTCTGAAGAACTGGTCATACTGAGGAAGAGGTCATGGCTTCCCAGGGCCCATGATGGTTTGCTGTAGGATGGGAGCTCCGATCTAAACGTTTCCTTCAGTTCCAAGCATGTCCTGCATACCATGTCCTCTTTCCTGTGCCTGATAAACCCTCCCTGCAAGTTTGGATATTTAAGTATGGTGATGTCTACTTGTACCTGAAATGCAGCAGTCTTACAGTGGCTTTTAGTGCAGCACTGTGCCAAGACGAAACCCAGCTCCCCTTTCTACAGGTTTGGGTGCTGGGGTCTGGGAAAAGGGCCTTCCACATGCTGCACGGAAGCTCTCTGGCTTCTGTTGGCAACCCTGAAGTCAAGACTTGCCGACCAGCTACCCTGGCCTGTCTGACTGAGGCTGCCAGGCTTCAGCGTGCCCTGGCCCCAAGAGCTGGCCGTGGGAGAGCTGGCAGCAGAGCAGCTCTCCAGACCCCACGGGCCCCTTGGGTGATGCCCAAGCACCAATCCTGCTGTGTGGCCCCACCGCAGCCCTCCCCAGGCTTGCACGTGGTCCTGCCACTGCCAACACCTTGCTCTGGCAGACGAGGCCCTGCTGGGGCCTGGCTCCTGCCAGCAACCGATGGTTCCTGGGGACAGCACCTGCGGAGCGGAGGCTGCGGCCTGGGCAGGCCCCGCCATCACCTGCTGCTGGCAGGGGGGGCTGAGCGAGATGCCGGCTGCCGGGTCACGCAGCAGGGGCTGAGTGGGTGTTTGCTTGGCATGGGCTTCAGGGGCCTGGAGCCTGCTGTGGGATGGTTTCACTCTGCAGCAGTCTCTTAAAAGGTCTGCCTGTCTGCTCTCTTCCTGTTGCCAGAATATGGTCAGTGGCTTTGCTCAGTGCCGGCTGCCTGCCTGCCACGCTGACAAGCAGCGCAGGCAGTGAACTGGGCCTTGGTGCTTTGTAGTTGGGAGCCCTTTCCCCCAGAGAACGTGACTGCTGCCTGCAGTCTCCTTGTGCTCCTACGTCTGGGCAGGGTGACTGCTGTGGTAGCACTGCCCAAGAGCTGGTGCTGTGGGACACGCCACGTCATCTAAGCACTAAAGATGGCCTTTGTGGCACATCCCTGAAGGCCGGGTCCTGCAAGAGGGGATTGCAGGGTGCAGCAGTGGTTGAAATCCCAGATAGATTGTTCCCACTCACAAAGAAGCAGTTTTATTTAGAATGGTCCCCAATCTTCAGCCTGTTTCTTCACCTGGAAATAAAAAGGGAGCAGCACTTTGGAAGCAGCTGGCAGCTGTGGCTCTGCTGTGGCTCTCAAGCTCAATGAGAGATTGGGCCCAGACAGGGTTTTTGTACTTGTGATGAAAAATACAAAACTTCATATCTCTTAAGTGCAAATATGTATACCAATTCTCATTAGTGTCTAATTTCAACATCAGACTGTGTCTTTTGGTTCCTGGTATCCTCTAGCCAGCAGTTATCTGGCTGCATTGGTACTTTGCATACTGGTAATCCTGTTAAGTGGTGTTCTCCAGACAGTTTGTTGGATCACAGGACTTCCTGATGCAGGGCAGGGTAACAGGGAAGCGGTCTGGTTAGTTGTAACGACTAATGCTTATGTGTATGTTTTGGAGGCAAATGTTCTGTCCTTAAAGGCAGGTACCTTTCCACAGGCAACCAAGGAGGAAGCTGGGCTACCTGCAGTGGTGCCAGAACAGGGTTCTAGTCTATGGCTACTCCCTTTGATAGGTAGGCTAAAAACAAGTAGTGCCCTTTATTTTAAAAGAGCTGCTAAATAGCTGCTCTGTCAAGAAGCTTGTGGTTTTTCATGATGCTCAAACACTTCCACTTGAACACCTGCAGAGTGTGTGGTGAAACCGGAGCACAACTGTCTGATCTTAGTGCAGTCTTTAGTGTGTTTTTCTTGACTAAGAAGCAGCAGTGATTGATGGCCAGCCAGACCTTTCCAGACAAATGGGTGGTGTGAGTGCTATGAGTCACAAAGCAGAGGTTGGGATGTGTGTGCGTGCGCATAATTTCTGGATACAATTTTAGGAGCTGATGTTTTTGGTTTAATCCTGCCAAAGCCAGCTCTGGCTCCTCAAATCTGTGCTGGCTGCTGTAAGCTCTCCATGACATGCTGCACAAGCTGTGATATGCTCCCCAGCCACAGTGGCCCCCCCTTCTGAGTCTGCAGACCAATCCCTGCTCTCTTTTTCCCCTGCCTTCAACTGTGCCCCTGAGTTTCCTCCAGGGGACCACCAGGCAGGAGCAGAGCTGACCGGGCATCAGCCCCTCCTGACTGCTGCCTGGCACAGGCAGCGCAGAAGGCTGCTCTGGTAGTGTTCTGCTGAGTAGCGGAAGAGTTGAAACAGAGTGTCTTTTCCTCCAGAGGGAGGCTGCAGAATTTTGCAGTAGTGCAAAGGTGTGCTGTTGAGCTAAGGATGGGCAGCACCTGGTGCCCTGTCAGTGCCTTGAGTGTCCACAGTCCCTGAGCTGAGTCCCTGATGCTGGTGCCCTGCCTGGCTGGCTTGCGCCAGACTCCTGGCCAGGCCCTGCTGTGATGTGCCTTCCACAGGACTGGGGATGCTACCAGTTTGAGGAACGCTGGACAGAGTGGTGATTCCCAAGAAGTGCAGAAGCCACCAGCGAGAGCCTGGCTTAGTGCTGCGAGGCAGCTGCCTGCAGTGTCCACTGGAGTGGCTGTGCATGGAGCACCTGGGCTGCATCCTGGCCCTTGGCCAACCAAACACAGGCAGGAAACATCTTCGAAAGCTGGAACAGTGAAAAACCCCGCTGGAGCTGAGGAAGGAGGGCAGGGGTCCCAGGCAGGTCTGTACCGCTGGTGTGGGTATCCTCTTGGCAGGGCCACAGGTTTTAGCAGCTGTAAGTGAAATTGTGGCATAAGCACAATCACCCAGGCTTGCCTGAACTCAGGTTGGGCTGTAGCTGGCCAGCATCGAGGGAAGGCTGCTGGTGTGGCAGCAGTATCTGCACGCCCCCTGCCTACAGGATAGACTCACTTAAAGAACAGTTTGAAACAGCTGGAAGTGTTCTTGTTCGCAATTAATGTGGCTTTATTATTGATGTGTTGGGCTCCTCTCTTGACAGTAGTTAGTTACAGTGTTTCACATGGAAATGGGCAAAAGGACAGAGGTCAAGAAACTAAATTCAAATAGAAACATGATGCTGAAGAAAAGAATCAGGGCTCCGTTTTTAAAACATTTAGCATAGAAGCTGGGAGCACAAGTTGCCATTTCAATACAGTTGAGACGTTCACTTTTTTAAATTATTGGTTTAAAATAGTATTTTGTACCTATTACATACAGGAAGATTACATGTTGTTGCCCACATGCAGAAACAAGCAAAAGCAGAGTTTAACTGTTTCTCTCTATAGTGTTGTATTTATTACGTCTGGCTCTGGATGGGTTCTGCTGGCTCCTGCAGGCTGAGCGGAGTCAGACTTTAGAATTTGGCATTTTTACAAGTCCTTTTCCCCCATGGCTTCGGAAGATTTCATGGGAGAGAGAGAGGCTGGAGGCACAACAGACTTCCACAAAAGACTTAAAAAAATAAATAAATTGTGGAGTCTTGAAGACAGGGAAATGAACTGGTGTAGGATAGAGCAGTCCAAGCAGCGTAACTGCGGAGTGCTGGAGCACAGCACGTGGAGGGCAGGTGTTTTTGCTGGAACATGTCACTCCTGCCTGGAGGATGCAGGCACCTTACAAAGCCTCACCATTACTGCTTCTTATTCATAACTGCTTCAAGTTTAAAATTGAGAAACATTCATTTGTAGGTCTGTATAAAGTTAGTGCATTAGCTTTTACCCCTAGCCACACTGAGGAATCCAGGGATCCAGTCACTGAAGATGTCACGTTTGTTGCTCTAACTACCTGGCACTGAACATTTTGCATCCTCCACCTGCAGCTGGCTGCCAGCCAGTGCTATTGGCAGGTGAGCCAGGGTCTCCCCAAAGCACTGAAGGCAAAACCCCAGAGCAGTGCCTGGGGAAAACAGGAGCAGGTCTGTTACTGCCTGCAATTGCTTGCTGTACCCGACATTCATAGACACTTGACCCCATTGGGTTACAGAGAATGACATTTATTCTTCTGGCAGACACACTGTGATTCCATGGTTAACGTGAATACAGCGCAGGGCAGGGATTTCATAAATCCCTGAGTAAGCTCACATGCTCCTACCAAGGGCTGCATCAAAAGGGCTGGCTGCTCCTCGGGGAGGGGCTTCTGGCCTCAGGCTTTGTCCTGCAGCTGCTGGGTTTTAGACACAGCCTTGCAGGCTGCAAGCAGAGACCCCCTTTTGCTGCCAGCAAAAACTCTGCCCATTTCTCTGTGGTCTTTTGTTGTTCTTTAAATTGCAGCATCTAAGTATTTGTACTGAGAAACCTCTGAGCTGACACCAAGAGCACATAGTGTCAAGTTAACACGTATAAATTAAAATATTAAATCCAAACAAAATGCAGCTTAAGATCAAATAATAAATATATAAATTAAATGCAAAATAAACCATTTCCCTAGAAACTCCATTTTAGTCTAGGAGCAGGCTTCTAAGCAGCATTTTCTTTCTATCAGCTGCTAGAAAATGCTAGCATAGAGACTGAAGTGTCCCCGGCAAGCACAGCACATAGTCCTGGGATGCTTATTATGGAATCAGATCTTGGCTCAAGGCCAAGCATAGCGGGTAACACAGCAGATGGAAATACTTTGAGTTGTATGCCAAGCCTTGCCGCATTGCTTTCCATCTCATGTCTCTTTCACAACCCACCACCACGCTTTTTTCACGCACAGAAAGTTATCCCTGTGATAAGGCTCTCTTGCAGTGCTCTAGGATGTGGCGAAGGCTCTCCGGGTGCTACAGAACAGATGCCTGAGCACTAGCACTCCTGGAGCTGCTCTCTCTGCAAGGGCTGGCAGCCCCACAGCAGGAATGGGCTTGAATGCCAAGGAGCCTCTAGGTGACTGTTCAGTGGCAATGATGCACTCACGGCACACAACTACATCTCTGCCAGGCTGGCCATACAGCAAGGACCTAAGTCCACAATAGGTGTGCAAGCAACAGGCGCTGCCAGCTGCAACTGCAGGGTATGCACAGCACAGCCTTGCCAGCAGCTATTCTGTGCAGGCAGCTATGCATGCTCCTGCCACAGTTGTGGAGTATCTATGAGCTAACACAATTGCTAAACTACTCCCAAGTGTTTTTGGGAAAGGGGTTCTCTTTCCTCACACCACAGGTTCTATTCCCCACATCCTGGGCACACTTAGGGAGGGCAGCAAAAGCTTGAACACAGCTAAGAAGCTGGACCACTGGCATACATGTAGCAAGGAAACTGCTGCTGCTTGCAGAACTGGCACACATCAGCTATGCTGGCCAGACAACAGCATCTCAGTACAGCATGCGAGTTCCTCAGCTGCCTCACCACACTCCTCAGGAAAGCCTTTGGTTTACGAGGGCAGGGAGGTTTCTCAACTATCATAGGCCAACAGAGGCCGGGTTGTTTCAGCCCTTCTGCTTTAGAGGGGGCTGTAGTTGTGCGTTTGGATACTGAGTGTGACTGTTCAGGCAACAGCCCCTCTGTGCCTCCTCCTGTCGCACTGCTGATGTGCAGGAGTAAGTTACCCACTTAGTGTGCAAAACTCAAGTTAGCAGGTTAGGAATGTGCTCCTTGTAGCCAAGAGCAACAGGCTGAACTCTCCCCTCCCACCGCCACCCCCCCCCCCCAAAACCAACATGTCCTTCAGCCCAGCTCCTTGAGCATAGTGAGCAGGTGTTGCAGGAGTCTGTAACCAAGTATTTGGGATAGAAGCCTGCAGAGGTGGCAAATGGTGGCCCTGCCCGGTTGGAGTACAGGCCCCCTCGCCCAGAACACCACCTGTATGCTCAGGATAGAAAATGGAAGAATGCCTTTCACTGTCATGTTACAGTTGGAGGGTTTGGCCTTCCCTCATCATGTAGGTTTGCTTTGTGAATTAGTTTTTTTCTCTGTCTCCCTGCCCCCAAACACTGTCAACATGCAGCAGCAGCACTTCAGCCCTCACCAGAATGATGAGGCTCATGGTGCTACAAGTTAAATGGCAAGGCAGCCAGGAAGAGAGTAGAACAAGCTCTCACAGCAGCAAGGCAGCCAAGATAGTCTACAGAAACTGTACAGGCAGCAGAATAAAGCAGGGAAAGTGGAAGTGCCCCTGGCCTGCAACTGCTCTTGCACAAACTCTTAGCTCAGTCCAGAATATTACAGAGCCCTGCACTTCTTTTTCATGGCATCCAGTGCTGAGCTAGATGGGTACCCGATTGCCTGACAAATGGGAACCATGTAGAGGACTAAACCAGAGAACTGGACTGTGATTAGATGGTGTCTCTGATGTTGCATCGGTGATTGGAGAGTCAATGGATGAACGCAAAGTGTGGCTGGGAGATTTAGAATTCGATCTTACAGGCTGGGAAAGATTCGTCCTGCATCACAACAGTACTGCTGCTTGCCAGTACCATGATGTTTAGCTCCTGCTGTTTCTCATGGGTCTGTTGGTACCATTCTCTTGTCACCTCAGTATCATGTGTTGGGATCAATGTCACCTGGGGAAAGAAAGCAGGAGGCATCATTGTTCGAGAACAACTGCACTGGTAAACAATGCCCGTAGGAGCTGAGGCTAAAATTTCCCATTAATTTTGGAACACTGTCCCCTTGGTACTGCTTGTTCTATTTAATGCCTTTCAGATGTCACATTCTCTAAGGCAGAGCTGGTGCTTTATTTTATGCAGTACCAGCACAATGGGGCTCTGAGCTGGCTGTACACTAGCAGTACTACCCCAATAATGGTGAAAATGGCTGCAGTGGAGGGGAGAGCCTCTCTTTATTGTGCGCCAGAAACAGCCTTAGAAAGATCCTTCAGTGTGAAAAGGAGCAATGCTGAGAGTATTACTGTTACTGATTTTATAGACTTGATCTGCCTACTGACCCAATGTGCAGCTCAGGGACTTTGAAATCAGGGGGTACATCATCTGAAAGAGCATACACTCTTCCTGTACCTGTCATCAGAAACAGCATCTACCCAAAATCTCCTGCAAACCTGACTACACAAGAAATATAAGTAAGAATGCTCCATTTGTTTTTTAATCTCTAATAAAAGTTAGTATTTATTACCAGTATAATAGAAAGAAAAATCATAAGCAAGCAAGGCTAGCAACAAATGCCACAGGCCATGGGACACTGATGAATATTCAGCCTGTGACAGTGCTTGTTTTTGCTTGCAGATAGGCTCATCCTGCAGCAGGTGAGAAGGAATGTATAATCTCTAAGTGCTTCCTCCTCTCTGAAAGATGTGGAATGGAGGACACATCTAACACTACTCACATCATTCTGAGAGTGTCCCCCTTCTCAAGAGTACAAGCAGTTACTCCTCTGAGATTGCAGAGCAATACATGCCCAGTACCACTTGTATACTCTTAATGTACTTTGTGACACACACCTTCCCCCAAGTGCTTATGACACAAGGAGAAACATACATTCCCAGGCACTTCCGTGACATACCTGCAGATTCTCCCCCCACTGAGACTTCCCTTCCAGGAGCGCATCCAACACTGCACGGCTTGGTTCTCCATTGGCTGCATCATTCCCACTCACAACATAATATGATGCTCGAACCCGCTTGAAGAACTCTGGATCTGTGTTCTTTCCGCTGCAGTGGTTGGGAATGTATGCCAAGTCCACATAGACAGGTGGACCCATGGGCACAGCCAAACTGCTTTTAGGACTATTGGAAGCTTTGGAAAAAAGAAAGCAGAGACTATCAAAACCCTTCTGGAACGCACAAGCACTCAAATTAACACTGAAGAAACTGGATTCCAGAAAGGTTTTTCCCTTCAGCAAACAAGTTAACATTTATCCAGGCTCAGAGGAGATCTGGGTGGAATTTTGAGCCAGCACTGAAAGAAAGGGAGGAAAAAGGAGTTCTGCTGTTCTTGGGGGTTAATGAAGGGGGGCTGGAAGGCTTAAGACTCGCAAGTCTTTCCTGAAGAAGGGACTCAAAAGCTCCATTATTAGCTTTTGCAGAGTTGCTATCCCAATTAATAGTTTGTCCTACCTTTTTTTTTTGTGTGTGTTAATAATCTATTTTTGCTTAAAACAAACAAACAAAACAAACAAACAAAAAAAAACAACTGTTCTGTGGCCTCTGTATCTGTTTATATCCTAGGGTATTGCAGTGGTCTTTTTGGAAACTCCACCCTGGCTTTCTGCCATCCCTGAGAATCACTGCTATTCTGTGGACTATTGCTCTTTCCTAGCAACACTGCTGTAACTTTTGTACATCTTTTCTTCATTTACTGCTCTTTATATTTATGAGATGAGAGATTGTCAAAGGAGTTGTTATACTCAGCAGTAAATAGGCATATACAGACAAAACCCATGGAAGGACTGTCCCTTCTCTCCCTCCTGCTCTCTGTGGAGTCACAGAGGCCTCTGTCTTCTGTTTCCTATTCTGGGTACTCTCTTTTGTGAGCACAAAGCCACCAGCTACTAGCATGGACAACTAATTGTGCTGGCTAGCTGTGGCACAAACAAAAAAATCCTTTCTTGTTGCAGCCATTCTTACTGATGTCTATTCCTCATCCCCAGTGTGATTTGGGCAACCCACAGCACTGCTCCAAACACAGAAATCATGCATCTTTGTCTCAACCTTCCCTTCAGGCTTACATGTCCAGACACTCCATCTTGATAGCTCTTTCTGTGCAGTGCCGTCAGGACCTGACCACTCTGTACAGACACGCTACTAATACCCTCATGCAGGCTTTCTCTTGACTGTACCATTATTTCTCTGTCAGCTACTCACGAGTCAGCTGGCTCAGAAACTTTTCAGGCCACATTCCCTTGCAGACTTTTCCCTTGGCTGGCACTGTGACCACTTCATTACTCCGTCCACTACTTTCCTCTCACTCCCCACTACACTGAGCAGACTCTTCATCAGCCACTCAGCCTGAACATCCCTCTTGCTGTCAGTGACACCGTGTGTCATCTGACAACAATCATCTCCTCACCTGAGTTGTACATGTATTTGCAGTAGGCACACATATAGGCTCTTTTCAGGTCTTTCTCTTCAGCTGTTCTTACTCAAGAAGAGCCCCTCGTAAAGCCTCTGCAAACCCTCTCTTTGCCTCAGTGTCTTCAGTGGGCATCTGCTGAGACCATAGCCCATCAGCACTGTTTTGATTTTCTTCATTCTCCCTGACACTACCTTCCTGCTGGCTCTTGTCTTATGCTCAGTATCAATGATCTGGAACAGAAGATTAAAAATCAGTCTGTGTTTTGCATAGAGCCTGGCACTGCAGCTTCTCAGCAGGGACATGGGGGTAATGCAGCTACACTGTATCACCTAAAACTGGTGTCCTCTGGTAGCATACTAGTAGAGCACTGGTCTCCATGTGAACACTTAGAGGAGGCCATGTGCTGTACAGACACTTGCAGCAAAGTACCCTTTTCAC